GCTGCGCTCTCAGGTACCGCGTTGGCTTCGGCCTCCCTCACCTTTACACTTGACTCTGGGGCTTCTCGCTCCTTCTTTTGGGACCGCACCACACTCACGCCGCTTGGTCGGCCGGTTGCAGTCTCCCTGGCTGACCCCTCTGCGGGTCCTGTCCTCGCTCACTTCTCCACTGTCCTCCCGTGTCCGGCTGCCCCCTCGGGCACCCTGTCTGGCCTGTACCTCCCCTCGTTCTCGATGAACTTGGTGAGTGGTGCAGACCTACAGGATGCAGGGGTTCACCAGTTCACTCCTGCGAGTCAGCGGGTGACCCACTGCACTGACGCACGCACAGGCCGGCACCTCGCCACGTTCTCGCGTCGGCCGGGGTCGAGCCTCTACACCCTGACCACTGAGTCTCCTCCTGTCCCCGCGTCCGGTCAGGTAGCAGCGTCGGGTCAGGTGTTTGCTGCTGCGTCCAGGTCTGGTCCTGAGTCTGCCCCCTGTTCGTGTCGCCTCCTGTCTCACGAGACTCTTTTGTGGCACCACCGTCTCGGCCACCCCTCCTTGCCCCGTCTTCGGGGCATGGCTTCCCGTGTCATTGTCTCTGGTCTTCCCCAGTCTCTCCCTCCCCTTCCTTCGGGACCAGGACCTTCCTGTGTCCCCTGTGTCGAGGGGCGCCTCAGGGCTGCTCCTCACTCCTCCCAGTTTCCCCCGACAGAGGCTCCTCTGCAGACGCTTCACATGGACGTGTGGGGCCCGGCCCCCGTCCGTGGACAGGGTCACGAGCGCTACTTCCTGTTGGTGGTTGACGACTACTCGCGTTACACCTCAGTCTTCCCCTTGCGCAGCAAGGGTGCTGTCACTGAGGTGCTGATCGACTGGATCCGCGAGGCTCGTCTCCAGCTCAGGAGGAGCTTCGGCTCGGACTTTCCTGTTCTGCGTCTGCACTCTGACCGAGGTGGGGAGTTCTCCTCTCGCCTTCTGCGAGACTACTGTCGTGCACAGGGGATCCGCCAGACCTTTACGCTTCCGGACTCTCCACAGCAAAATGGGATTGCTGAGCGCCGCATTGGCATGGTCATGGATGTCGCTCCTACGTCCATGATGCATGCGGCTGCCCCCCATTTTTTGTGGCCGTTTGCGGTTCGGTACGCGGCGCATCAGCTCAACCTTCACCCCAGGGTCTCTCGGCCCGCGATGTCCCCAGTGTTACTGTGGACGGGGAAGGTCGGCGATGCGTCTGCGTTCCGTGTCTGGGGATCTCGGGCGTTTGTCCGCGACTTGTCTGCGGACAAGCTGTCCCCCCGTGCTGCTCCCTGTGTCTTCCTTGGCTTCCCCCCTGACGCTCCAGGGTGGCAGTTCTACCACCCCTCCTCTCGTCGTGTTCTGTCCTCCCAAGACGTCACGTTCGACGAGTCAGTCCCCTTCTACCGCCTCTTCCCCTACCGTACTCCTTCCCTCCCCCCCCCACCGGACTTCCTGGAACCAGTTCCCCCCCCGGTAGACCCCCTCCCCCCTCAGGTTCCTGCCCCTTCAGGTGTGTCCCAGGTAGACACGGTCGAGCCAGTCGAGGTTGCTGCTGAGTCTGGTCCTGCTGCGGGTGCTGAGCCTGGGGGTGCTGCTGCTGGGGGTGCTGAGCCTGGGGGTGCTGAGCCTGGGGGTGCGAGGCCAGGGGGTGCTGAGTCTGGGGGTGCTGAGCCGGGGGGTGCTGTGCCAGAGGGTGCTACGCCGGGAGCTGCTGAGCCTGGGGGTTCTGGGCCTGGAGGTGCGGAGCCTGCGCCTGCTGGACCTGGGGGCTCTCCGGTTCTTCCGTCTCGGCGGGATCCGCTCTCTCCACAGGAGCTGCGCGAGTGGTTTGCTCGCCGCTGGAGGCGTGGTGCTGGAGCTGGAGCTTCTTCGCCTGCTGAGGGTGCTGCCGGTCCCGGAGCTGCTGGGCCTGCGGGTCCTACTGGAGCTGGAGCTACTGAGTCTGGGGGTGCTGAGTCTGGAGCTGCTGAGCCTGGAGGTGCTGAGTCTGGAGCTGCTGAGCCTGGGGGTGCTACGTCTGGAGCTGCTGTGCCTGGGGGTGCTGAGTCTGGAGCTGCTGAGCCTGGGGTTTCTCCTGCTGCTGCGTCTCGCCGGGAGCCCCTCTCTCCACAGGAGCTGCGCGAGTGGTTTGCTCGCCGCTGGAGGAGTGCTGCTGGAGCTGGAGCTTTGTCGACCGTCGAGGGTGCTGGTGCTGCCGGTCCCGGAGCTGCTGGGCCTGCGGGTCCTACTGGAGCTGGAGCTGCTGAGGGTGTTGGTGCTGAGACTACTGCTGTCTGTCGTGGCGGTGGTTCTGCTGCTGGTGCTGCTGGAGGTCCTGCCGCTGGAGGTGTTGGTGGCGCTGGTGCTGTCGCTAAGGGTGCTGGTGCTGTCCCTGCTGAGTCTGGAGCTGCCGTGCGGCCTCGGCCGTACTTCGTTCCGCTCCTACAGCAGGTTCTTGGTCTTTCTCCTTCGGTAGAGTGTCCACAGCCTGTCCAGTCGCAGTCACTGTTGGAGCCTTCCTCTCCTCTGCCTGCTCCCTCTCCTTACACTGGTCCTACTGGAGGTCTTACTGAGCGTCGTGAGCCTGCGTCTCGTCCCGCGTCGCCGGTTCGTGCTGCTCGCGCTAGTGGTCGCGGTTCGCGTCAGCGTCCTCCTCCTGTCCCTGGCACGCACCGGATGTCTCTGCGTCCGTCCACTGCTCCTCTGCGTGCCCCTTTGCCTTCTCCTCCTGAGTCCTCTCTTCCTGCGCTTGCCGACCCTGAGTCGGACTCTCTTCGCGCTGCCAGTCCTACTGTCACGCGTTTGCTTGCTACTGTCGTCACTGACCCCTCTTTTGAGTCCACTGCTGCGTCTGCTCTAGTCGCTGAGCTCGTTGACTTTGCTGCTCGCTGTCGTCTCGACTACGCTGCTAGTCTTGTTGCTGAGTCTGCGTCTGTCTGTCCTCCGTCCGTCGGGGGTGAGTGTGCTCTTGGCACGGACGTCCTAGAGGACAGGCAGGAGGAGTTACAGTGTCTAGCGGCTGCTTCACCTCATCTCGCGTCTGTACTGCTTGCCCCTGAGGGAGACCCGGATGCACTAGACATCCCGACTCCGCGTTCTTACACGGAGGCCGTAGAGGGTCCCTACTCCTCTCAGTGGCAGGCAGCTATGGATGCAGAGATGGCTTCCTGGAAGTCCACAGGCACCTACGTTGACGCGGTTCCCCCTCCTGGGGCGAACATCGTCAGTGGCATGTGGATCTTCAGGGTGAAGCGGCCGCCGGGCTCTCCACCTGTCTTCAAGGCGCGGTACGTTGCTCGTGGCTTCAGTCAGCGGCAGGGAGTTGACTACTTTCAGACCTTCTCTCCCACCCCGAAGATGACCACTCTTCGGGTGCTGCTGCACATAGCCGCTCAGCGCGACTACGAGCTTCACTCTCTCGACTTCAGCACTGCGTTCCTGCAGGGTAGCCTGCACGAGGAGATCTGGCTGCGCCGTCCACCTGGCTTCACTGGGACTTTCCCTCCTGGCACCCAGTGGAGCCTCCGACGGCCAGTCTACGGTCTCCGCCAGGCACCGCGTGAGTGGCACGACATACTGAGGACTACGCTTGCGGCTCTTGGGTTTGCTCCTTCTACTGCTGACCCGTCGCTGATTCTGCGCACCGACACTTCACTGCCGCCGTTCTACATCCTCGTGTACGTTGACGACTTGGTCTTTGCCACAGCGGACACTGCTGGACTCGCCTATGTGAAGTCCGAACTGCTGAAGAGACACACGTGCACAGACCTGGGTGAACTGCGCAGCTACCTTGGCTTGCAGATCACTCGGGACAGAGCACGCCGCACCATTACCTTGACTCAGTCACACATGGTGCAGCAGGTCCTTCAGCGCTTCGGCTTCACGTACTCCTCGCCTTAGGCCACTCCTCTGCCTACTCGCCACTCACTCTCAGCTCTGCCTTCGGATGAGTCCGTAGAGTCGAGTGGTCCGTATGCAGAGCTTGTTGGCTGCCTCATGTACCTGATGACCTGCACTCGACCTGACCTTGCATACCCTCTGAGCATCCTTGCACGCTATGTTGCTCCTGGGAGACACCGACCAGAGCACATGGCTGCAGCGAAGAGGGTATTGCGCTACCTGTGCAGTACGTCGGGCATGGGGCTAGTGCTTGGAGGGCGGAGTCCAGTGGTCCTTACAGGCCACGCGGATGCTTCTTGGGCTGACGACCAGGCTACGCAACGGTCGTCACAGGGTTACACCTTCAGCCTTGGTTCCGGCTCTGTCTCGTGGCGGTCTACTCGCTCGTCTTCAGTTCTTGGCTCCAGCTCTGAGGCTGAGATCTACGCCGGGGCCATGGCTGCACAGGAGCTTCGCTGGCTCACCTACCTGCTGACTGACCTTGGAGAGCAGCCTCGTTCTCCTCCAGTGCTGTACGTAGACAACAAGGCCATGCTGGTCTTGTGTCGAGAGCAGCGCTTGGAGCACAGAACGAAGCACATTGCTCTCCGCTACTTCCTTGCTCGTGAGCTGCAGCAGCGTGGTCAGTTGCGACTTGCGTACGTGGCCTCTGAGGCCAACACTGCTGATGTGTTCACCAAGGCACTCGCGCCTTGTGATCATCAGCGCTTTTGCACCCAGCTAGGTCTTGTGCCTGTCTTGCCTCACTTGCTCTCCTCTTGACTTTACTTGTACTGTGACATATATATATACCTGCTCTTGCTTGTCTAGTTTTATATATATGTCTGTACTCCTGCATGTGAACTGGCCTCTGGCCCTGCTCCTGTGCTCGGACTGTGTGGTGACTTTGTGATCCACCCTGAGCTTGCTTTGCTTTGCTTGACTGGTCTTGTGACCCCTTGTTCTCCCCCACTTTGCCTATGGGGGTGTGTCAAACATTATACATGTTATGCTTGTGTAGGCTACAGTGGGTTAGCCTATAGGGGGTACACAATTCTAGGGTTTACTACTTGTACTCATTTCACTTCTAGTTCATTCATTCCTGTTCGCTTATTCTCACAGATTATTGTGTCAAAATGCAGGCTATTGTGCAACTACTCCGTAGCGTAAACTCGTGCCAAAAATCGAATCGCAACCGTTCGCCCAAACGTGACCCTCCCCTCGCCCTCGCTTTCCTTTCCCATGCTTCCGCTCTCTTTCGCCCGCGTCGTCGCCATCGCTTCCGCAGCTCGTCGCGTGCCCGTCGCCTTCGCTCCGCCCGTCGCCTTCACTTCTCCCCCGTCGCCTTCACTTCTCCCCCGTCGCCTTCACTCCCCCCCCTCTTCCGTTGCCTTCATTTCCCCCTCCCGTCGCCTTCACTTCCCTCTCCTGTCGCCTTCACTTCCCCCTCCCATCGCCTTCAATTCCCCCTCCCGTCGCCTTCATTTCCCCCTCCCGTCGCCTTCATTTCCCCCTCCCGTCGCCTTCATTTCCCCCTCCCGTCGCCTTCACTTCCCCCTCCCGTCGCCTTCACTTCCCCCTCCCGTGGCCTTCACTTCCCCCTCCCGTCACACTCGCTTCCCCACCCGTCACCTTCACTTCCCCTCCCATTGCCTTTCACTTTCTCCTGCTCAATCTCTTTCCCCCTGCTCACTCTCTTCCCCCCTGCTCACTCTCTTTCCCCCTGCTCACTCTCTTCCCCCCTGCTCACTCTCTTCCCCCCTGCTCACTCGCTTCCCCCCTCCTCAATCTCTTCCCCCCTGCTCACTCTCTTCCCACTCTCTTCCCCCCTGCTCACTCTCTTCCCCCTTGCTCACTCTCTTCCCCCCTGCTCACTCTCTTCCCCCGTGCTCACTCGCTTCCCCCCTCCTCAATCTCTTTCCCCCTGCTCACTCGCTTCTCCCCTCCTCATTCTCTTTCCCTCTGCTCACTCCCCTTGTTCTAACCCCACTTTCCCCATTTCTCACCCATTTTCCCCCTTCACGCTCTATTACCCCCTCTACTCGCCCCTGTTTTCCCAACTCACGCCTATACTCACTCTCTCCCCCCCTGCTCACTCTCTTCCCCCCCCTGCTCACTCTCTTTCCCCTTGCTCACTCTCTTTCCCCCCTTCTCACTCTCTTTCCCCCTTCACGCTCTCTTTCCTTCCCTTCCGCCCGTTGCCCCCCTTCGTCTCGCGCTCGTCCTCTCGCAATCCCCGTCTCTCTCCCCCCCCGTCGCCCTCCCTTCCACTCCTCGTTGCCTTCGCCATCCCTCCCTTCTCCCTTCCCATCTCTCACACTTGTCACGCCCCCTTTCCAACCCGCACATATACCCTTCCCTTCTTCCCTGTTTCCTCGTATCCCCTGCGCTGCTTCCCCCCATCCTCCGACTTGCTCCCCCCATCCCCTTCCCTACTTTCCCCCAACCCCTTCCCTGCTCCCCCCCATCCCCTTCCCTGCTTTCCCCCTTCCCCTTCCCTGCTTCCCCCCGTCCCCTTCCCTCCTTCCCCCCTCCCCCTCCCAGCATCCCCTCATCCGCTTCCCTGCTCACCCCCATCCCCTTCCCTGCTCCCCCCCATCCCCTTCCCTGCTTCCCCCTATCTCCTTCCCTGCTTCCCCCTATCGCCTTCCCTGCTCACCCCTGCTCCTTCTGTTTCACCCTTGCTCCCTCCCCTTCTTCTCTGCTCACTCTCTTCCCCCTTGCTCACTCTCTTTACTTGTGCTCACTTTGTTCCCCCATACTTCCTCTCTTCCCCTCTGTTCAATCTGTCCCCCGCTGCTTCTTCTCTTCCCCTCTGCTCATTCCGTTTACTGTCTTTCCCCCTTCACTCATCCCCATACCCCCCAATGCAGTTACAGGTGCTCAGCACCAGATGTGGCTTTACCACGGCCTGGTTTATTGCTTGCAGTGTAGCGGACAAAACCGGAAAACAACATTACACATACACCCCCTAGCTTTGTTCCCTTCTCGAGTCTGGTGATTCCCCTTACTTTACAGATACGGTAATATATTAATTGTTGAACTCCTTGGTATTGGTTATGTGTATGATTGCTCTGAGGCTCATAATCCTGTATTATAAAAAAAGAATCCAATATATGGCATGGCTATACGTGTGTTACTATCAGACAGCTAGCACATGCACAACCAGATGCAGAGCAGACCTGTCCAAACACAAATCAAGAAGTCAGATGTGACGTGGCTGAAGTATAAGGGAATGACAACTGGCAAATGAGGAAGGGAGGAACGGAGGAAGGGAGGAAGTGAGGAATGCAGGAATGAAGGAAGGGAGGAAGTGATGATGGGAGGAAGGGAGGTAGGGAGGACGCTTGGGGGAGAAGCAGAAGGGAGGGGAGGAAGAGAGGCTGGAGAGGAGGGTGGGGAGGAGGGTGGGGAGGAGGGTGGGGAGGAGGGTGGGGAGGAGGGTGAAGAGGAGGGTGGGGAGGAGGGTGGGGAGGAGGGTGGGGAGGAGGGTGGGGAGGAGGGTGGGGAGGAGGGTGGGGAGGAGGGTGGGGAGGAGGGTGGGGAGGAGGGTGGGGAGGAGGCTGGGGTGGGGCGGAATGGGGTGGGCCAGAAAGGGGTGGGGCGGAATGGGGTGGGGCGGGGCGGAATGGGGTGTCAGAATAATATATAATTCTATATATTGTTTTGTAACTGCCTGTAGTGTAGACTACTGTAGTCATCTAACTTTCTGTTTGGTGGTGCACCTTTCTTCATTCTTGCCTATTTTTACTACTCGCTCTATAGTGAAACCACTCTTTTGTTGCAATCTTCTCGACTCACCCAAACTCACTCGAACTCAACTACTCGACCTACTAGCTATGGCTCCTAAGCCTTCCTAGTACCTCAACATGTTATCAGAGTGACCAAGGTCCTCACCTGTGTGCCTACCCTAAAGCTTCCGCTGCTAATCTGTGTTCGGCACGCCCCGTGACGTGCCCCTGGCCCTACGGCCCCGTCGCCTACCTACGGCCCTACGGCCTCGTCGCCTACCTGCGGCCCTACGGCCCCGGCCCCGTCGCCTACCTGCGGCCCTACGGCCCCGTCGCCTACTTGCGGCCCGGCCCCGTCACCTACCTGCGGCCCCGGCCCCGTCGCCTACCTGCGGCCCTACGACCCCGTCGCCTACTTGCGGCCCGGCCCCGTCACCTACCTGCGGCCCCGGCCCGTCGCCGCCCTCGGTTGCGGCCCCGTCGCCGCCCTCACCTGCGGCCCGTCGCCGCCCTTAATTGCGGCCCCGCCGCCCTCACTTGCGGCCCCGCCGCCCTCTGTTGCGGCCCCGTCGCCGCCCTCAGCTGCGGCCTCGTCGCCGCTCTCACCTGCGGCCCGTCGCCGCCCTCAGCTGCGGCCCCGTCGCCGCCCTCACCTGCGGCCTCGCCGCCCACATTTGCGGCTCCGTCGCCCTCCGTTGCGGCCCTGTCGACTACCTTGCGGTCCCGGCCCCGTCTCCTATACCTGCGGCCCCGCCACCTGAGGCCCCGATGTCACCTGCGGCCCCGCCACCTGAGGCCCCGTCGCCACCTGAGGCCCCGTCGCCACCTGCGGCCCCGCCCACCCTTGCGGCCCCGTCGCCCACTTCGGCCCCGCCCACTTGCGGTCCCGACCCCGCCCCGCCCATGCCTCGTCATCCGCTGCGGCACACCGGAGGCACGTGCACTGCCCCCCCCCCCTTCTTCCCGTCACCTGTCGCGGCTCCTTCGGGGGCCGCGACCTGAAAGGGGGGGGCAGGCGTCGCCCCCTCTGCCGCCTGCTTTGGCGCCCGGGGAGGCCGTGCGTCGCCCCCCCCCCCCCCCCCCCCCCCCCCCCCCCCCCTTCTCCTCCTCCTTTTGTTCCCTCTGCTGCAGCTGCCGCTGGGGGGGAGGGTGTGAGGGTGTGGGGGAGCCCGGGGAGGGACTGGGGGTGGCGGGTGTGGGGGTGATGGGTGATGTGTGGTCTCCCCTTCCCATCCTCCTCCGTTTGCCCCCCTCTGCTGCTCCTGCAGCAGTGTGGGGGGGAGGGTGAGGGGATGTAGGGGGTGACCAACCAGAACCTACCACCTCCTCTCCTCTCTCTCCCTCTCTCTCTCCTCCTCCTTGCCTGCCCTCTCCCGTTCTGCTGCGCACTCTGCCTCGTGTACCCCATTATGGGGGCGTTGACTGCACATTCTTCCCTACAGGCACTTATGGGGGCGTGTGAGAATAATATATAATTCTATATATTGTTTTGTAACTGCCTGTAGTGTAGACTACTGTAGTCATCTAACTTTCTGTTTGGTGGTGCACCTTTCTTCATTCTTGCCTATTTGTACTGCTCGCTCTATAGTGAAACCACTCTTTTGTTGCAATCTTCTCGACTCACCCAAACTCACTCGAACTCAACTACTCGACCTACTAGCTATGGCTCCTAAGCCTTCCTAGTACCTCAACATGGGGTGAGGCGGATTGGGGAGATGAGGGATGGGGAGATGAAGGATGAGGAGATGAGGGATGGGGAGGTGTGGGATGGGGAGGAGAGGGCTGGGGAGGAGAGGGATGGGGAGGTGAGGGATGAGGAGGTGAGGGATGGGGAGATGAGGGAAGGGGAGATGAGGAATGGGGAGATGAGGAATGGGGAGATGAGGGAAGGGGTAATGAATGAACGTGTATGCGACGGAAGGGTGCTGCTGACCACGCACCCTCCCACGCCCCACGCGATGGGAAGGGATGAGAGGGTGGGCGGCATGGGTAGAGAAGCGATGGTGAATAGGGGGAACGTGATGGGCATGGGAGGGATGACGACGTGGAGAGAGGAGGAGAGAAGGGAGGTCGGCGGGAAGGCTAAGCGAGGACGATGGGAGGGCAAGCGTGGGCGACAGTGGCGGTGGGCGACGGTGGCGGTGGGCGACGGTGGCGGTGGGCGACGGTGGGGAGAAGCGTGGGCGGCGGTGGGGGGAAGCGTGGGCGACAGTGGGGGGAAGCGTGGGCGACGGTGGGGGGAAGCGTGGGCGACGGTGGGGGGAAGCTTGGGTGACGGTGGGGGGAAGCGTGGGCGACAGTGGGGGGAAGCGGGGGCGACGGTGGGGGGAAGCGTGGGTGACAGTGGGGGGAAGCGTGGGCGACGGTGGGGGGAAGCGTGGGCGACGGTGGGGGGAAGCGTGGGTGACGGTGGGGGGAAGCGTGGGCGACGGTGGGGGGAAGCGTGGGCGACGGTGGGGAAAGCGTGGGTGACGGTGCTCCGAAGCGTGGGCGACGGAGGGAGGAATCGTGGGCGATGAGAGGGGAAACGTGAGGGAAGGTGGGGAAAGGCGTGAGCGACAGTGTGGGGGAAGGCCGGAGGAAGCGTGAGCGGCGATAAGGGGAAGCGTGAGCGACGGTGGGGGAAAGCTTGGGCGACGGTGGGAAGAGTGGGCGTGTGCGTGGGGAGGTGTGTGAGAGACGGTGGGGAGAAGCATGGGGGACGCGGAAGGCGATAGGTCCAAATGCGATGTTTGGGAAAGAGCTAGGAATAAAAGTGAAAATGCTCATGGCCTATGCTGTAGTGGCGTTCTATTCTATCTCTTCACATACTCTAATCGCTTCGCGTACTATGGAAATCACACGACCTGAATTACCGAAGAAGGCAAACTGTGCACATTTTGAGTCCTTGTTCCTTCAGGAGGGTGTGGTTGGGACTCTCGCCAACCAAACCTGTTCTGCTCTACGACTCTCTGTTTCTTGGCGCAATGTTTTCTGGTAACCAGCCTGGCTCGGGAGGTCAACTGTGGGTTCGGTAGGCAAACTGTGCACAGTTTGCCTTCCTTTTTTTGTAATTCAGGTCTTGGGCTTTAAATCGGAGCTCGAGAAATGCTAGTTTCCCCGACATTCCCCCTGCTGACAGCCCAGCTGCAGAGCTCTTTCCTCGAGATCACTTCCCTCCATCGCAGCCGCACATTCGCGCAGCATGCGATTTCCCCGAGGCTAAGGCATCCTCCTCCCCCTCCATCCACTATCTGCCCGCACTCCGCTGCCTGCTGTCTGCCCAACGGACACATGTGTGGGAAGGTTTGCTCATGAGGTCCTCACTGCTGCTCTTCAACCCTACAACATACAACGCACTCAAACTCCACTCCCTTTACCATTGCTTTTCCTTGTGTACAGCTGCCTCGAGTCTTGGCACTTTTATGGCGGCTTCGTCAGGTGGTCACGCCGAGACTCTTGGCAATCGCTAGTGTTTCTGTTCCAGGATTTCTGAAGAGTGAGGTCCCGTGGAGCTATGGCAACTGCACCCCGACCCTATGCGCATTACATGCAAGTGCTTTTTGCGTCGGCCCCCTCCATCCTGGCAATTAATTGCACTCGCGCTCGCGCATCATATTGATTACGTGGATCGATTAACTACACAGCGGAGCAGTTAGAAAGTGAATTCGTCTTTTTTTTTTCCTGGACAATTTCCTCTTTTCTTTCGCTCCTCACACCCGCTGCGATGGTGGGTCTTTCCTCACAGAGGAAACAGCGAGCCCTTCGCATGAAGGAGGCCGAGCCGTCGCCGCTTCCCGTGGGCATCCTGAGCTACCGTAAGCGGAAAACAATGTCGTCAGGCGCGTCGCAACCAGCCGCACAGCAACCAGCCAGCGACGCCGGTGCGACTCATGGCTCGCTCTTGAATTTCATCAGCAGTTTCATCCCACTCGCCTCCGATCCCGCCAAACGGCAACGGCTACATCCTGCCGCGACCTCCCTCTCTCGCGCCGCGGCTGGCTTCGGCAGTCGAGAAGGCGTTCCTGCCGGATCATTTCCTCACGGCTTTCACGCCTTGGACGGAGGAACCAACATGCCAGCGTGGCAGGATGCTGACGCTGGCAAGGTAACTGAGGCGGGAAAGGGTCAGGAGAAAGGGGAGGAGGAGGAAGAGGAGGGGGAGGAGGAAGAAGGGGAAGAGGGACGGCAGGAGGCTGGGAGAAGCGTGTCACGGGCCGTGTACATAGAACCCGTGGGCCCGCGTCAAAGCCTCTTACCCATGGCCGCGCAGTCTCTTGTTCAGCGGCTGATGCCACGTGGCATGAACGGGCCGGTGCGGCGGTCGCCGCAGTCCAAGCGGGTCGCTCTCGCGTCGCCTGGTGGAGCCGCGCAGCAACCGCGCGCGCACGCGATTATGCAGTCGCAGCCGCAGGATCGGCGGCAGGCTCTCGCGCACGCGCTTGCGTCGTCTCATGCGCTGGCGCCGTCTCATCCGCAGGCGCATCCGCAGGCGTTGTTGTCGTTGTCACTCGGTGGAGCTATGGATTCGGACAGGCGGGGTGGGGCTGTGCAGATCATTTCGAGCCCATGGCAGTTAGACGATGGAGGAAAAGAAGCAGCAGCAGCAGCCGCAGCAGGTGGAACGGCCGCAGTGCCGAGATTGTTCCAATCCCCAGGGCGAAAGGATCGGTGGACCGCGACGCTTGGCAGGAAGAAGCGGAGGGAGTCGGGGGTGAGTGGGTCTGGGAGGAACGCGGTTGCTTCACCTGCACGAGCAGCAGCCGCCCGAATAGCACGAGCACGCGCAGCAGCAGGAGGAGGTGGAGTAGGAGGATCATCACGGGCGTCGGAGGAGGCAGCTGCAAGGGCGGTGACGGGCGCATGGATTGGGGTGTCGCGGAAGGTGGTGGGCGCGCGATGGCAGCAGCAGATGGCGGAGTATAAGCGGTTGGCGGAGCGGGGCGCGCACATGACCCCGGGGGAGATGGAGCAGCAGAGGCAGCGGTTTGAGGGGAGGTCGGGGCTAGGCGCTCTGCTTGGTGAGACGGGCGGGCGGATAAAGGAAGGGGAGGGAAGGGGTGTCGTTGTTGTTGTGAGCTCGAGGGTCTCATCTGTTCTTTCCCCTCCCCTCCCCCTCCACGCCCCCTCCCCTCCCCCTCCTTCCCGCCTCCTTTCGCCTTCCCTCTGTCCCCCCCCCCCCCCCCCCCCCCCTCCCTATCCCGCCCCTCGCATGTTCCTTCCTGAAATTTCCCTTGCCCCTCCCATCTTTCCCCCCTTCCCTCCCCCTCCCCTCCTCCCCGCCTCTCCCACCCTTCAAACTCTCCTACTTTTTGTTCCTTTTGCGTTTCTCACCGCGTGCTTCCTTACATACCAGCTTGTGCGCTGTCCGTTCTCACTCGTACCCTCCATCCATCTCTCCCCACTCAACAGCCACGGCTCCGCGCCATAACGGAGGGGTCGCTGGAAAGCCTTCGCAAGCCGAGCAAGCGGAACCAGTTGATTGGGAGGAGGGAGAGGAGGGCGAGGAGGGAGGGGACGCTTGCGAAGAAGCGGTGTTTGGCGTTGCACCTATATTACCTGCAGCAGCAGGGGCAGCAGCAGGAGCAGCAGCAATAACCCCTGCCTCTGGCGCGGCCGCTGCCGCCATTGCCCGTGCCCCTGCTCCTGCCATCGGCGCCACTGCTGCTGTGATTGATGCAAGTGTGGGAGCAGCGGCAGGCGCCGACCCCTCCGCTCTGGCCTCCTCCGCGCAAGCTGCTCTCGCGACAGTATCGACCTCTGAGCGCCTGCGCGCGGAGCGAAATCGGATCCAGCAGGAGTGGAAGCTGCGTACGCGGGAGAAGGAGCGGCAGCATGAGGAGAAAAAGGCGCAGATGGAGGAGGTAGAGAGGGAGTTTTTGCGGATGGAAATGGAGAGGAAGGACACGAGGGGGCGCGTGCAGGAGCGCAGAGCAGCAGCGGAGGAGCTACAGCGCGCCAAGGCGAAGGTGAGAGTGACGAGTGGGTGATGTGTGCGTGTGTGTATGCGAGGGAGGGTGTATGGGTGATGTGTGTGGGAGTGCGGATGTTGAGAGGCATATGACTCAACAGTGCGTGGGGGGAGGGAGTGGGTGGGGGTGGAGAGTGGGTGGGCGTGCATGTGCTGTTGACGCACTGCCGCGCACGTGCTGTTGACGCACTGCCGCGCACGTGCTGTTGACGCACTGCCGCGCACGTGCTGTTGACGCACTGCCGCGCACGTGCTGTTGACGCACTGCCGCGCACGTGCTGTTGACGCACTGCCGCGCACGTGCTGTTGACGCACTGCCGCGCACGTGCTGTTGATGTTTTGCGGCACGCGGCTGGGCGTGCGTGTGCCGTTGACACACAACAGGAAATTATATTTTCCTGATTCTCTTCTATCCACATTTCCTCCTCTGCGGTCGACCTTCCCTCTCCCCCCCTCCTTCCGTCTCTACTCCACTCTCATCTCCTCCCCTTCCCCCCCCCCCACTCTTCCCCCCCCCCTCTCCTCTCCTCCCTTCCCATCCCCCTCTGCAACTCAGCCTGTGGTGCGAGTGTTATCAGAGGAGGAGGAGAAGCAAGTGAAGCGCGCCTTCCAAGGGGGACACAGGTGCGTGCCATGATAATGGGCATTGGTGATGGGTGGGTGCTGGTGATGGGTGGGTGCTGGTGATGGGACGCTGGTAGTTAATTAATGGGTGCTGGTCGTTGATCCACACTGTTTGTTACCACCACACACACACAGCGGATGCTGGTTATGAAAAGGAAAAGGGGTGCTGGCCTTGTTGCTGGCCTTGTTGCTGGCCTTGTTGCTGGCCTTGTTGCTGGCCTTGTTGCTGGCCTTGTTGCTGGCCTTGTTGCTGGCCTTGTTGCTGGCCTTGTTGCTGGCCTTGTTGCTGGCCTTGTTGCTGGCCTTGTTGCTGGCCTTGTTGCTGGCCTTGTTGCTGGCCTTGTTGCTCGGCCATCACCACCTGGTTGCTTACGTTCACGGGAGCATCTCTCAGCTGCTTTTGTTGGTTTTTGAGACGTCTCAAAAGTCGTTCACGGGAGCATCTCTCAGCTGCTTTTGTTGGTTTTTGAGACGTCTCAAAAGTCGTTCACGGGAGCATCTCTCAGCTGCTTTTGTTGGTCTGTCAACTTGTAAATAGGCTCATCACTTGCTCTTGCTGCAGTCTATTTCACAGCTGCTCTCTCTGCCCCCCTCCTCCCTTCAACCCCTCTCTCTCCAACCCCTCTCCCTCCCCCTTTTTCATCCTTCTCCACCCTCCTCCCTCTCTCCCATGCTCTCTGTGTTGTTCATTCATTGGCTGTGCAAGAATCATTGCCTGTCACTTCACGTCCCTCGCTACCACGGGCTGCTCCCATCCCACGTCAACCCACCTTCCCGGTCTTCATATCATCATTCCTGGCCTTCCTTCCTTTGCGAATGCCCCTTCCCCAACCCGGAAAAGTGGCCCATTCCTTGCATCCGCATTGTCCTCTCTCCCCCCTGTTTGTCCTGGCGCAGTGGGGAGGAGCTGGCGTTCCACGAGGGGGCGAACATCGTAGTCACGCGCAACCACATGCGCTGCCCTTCACCCCCTTCTCCCCTTCACCCCCTCTGCTCCCCGTGCGCCGTGTCGCAGTGGGGAGGAGCTTGCTTTCCACGAGGGGGCGAACATCATAGTCACACGCAACCACATGCGCTGCCTCATGCCAGGGGGGTGGCTCAACGACGAGGTGCGTGGGGGAGGGACCTGTGGGAATGGGGGGAATGGGGAAAATGGGGGGAACGTGGGGGAAGGGGGAAAAAGGGGGGGGAGGATGAGGGCAACAGGGGCAACGGGGTGGGAGACACTCAGAAAGTGTTAACCTCTAACTGGTCGTGTGTGTGTGTGTAGGACCACACACTTTGTGCATTCCTTCACCGCCCCTCACTCTTTCCCACTCCTCACTCTTCCCCGCTTCTCACTGTGCCCCTCTTCCCCCTTTCTCACCTTTCCCTTCTGTTTTTCTCACCCCCACGGCTCCCCGCTCCCCCCCTCCCCCCTCTCCCCTCGCTCCTCTCCCTCTGTACCCCCCTCCCATCCCTCTCTCCCCACCTGCTTCTCCCTCTCGTTCCTTCCCTCCCCTTTCTCTTGCCCAGGTGATCAACATGTACTTAGAGCTGCTCAAGGACCGCGAGAGGCGCTCACAGCATTTGCCTCCCCTGCTGTCTCCCTTTGCCCCCCCAATCTGCTCCCCTCTCTCTCCCCCTCCCCTCCCCCAGGTGATCAACATGTACTTAGAGCTGCTCAAGGACAGAGAGAGGCGCACACAGCAGCCCGGCAGCAGCAACAGCAAGGGCCGCATGCCCGTGTGCCACTTCTTCAATACCTTCTTCTACGCGCGGGTCAGTCATTGCAATGCAGTGCTGGGGGAGGGGGTGGGAAGAGGTGGTGCAGGGCTGCAGGGGGGACGGGGCAGAGGAGCAGCTAAGGGGGAGGGGGGCAGGCGGAAGGCCCATGTGCCACTTCTTCAATTCGTTTTTTTATGCGCGGCTCAGTGCAGTGCAGGGGGGTGTGTGCGATGAAGGGGAAGAGAGGGTATGGGGGGGGGAATGGGGCAGGCATGCACTGCACTGCATTGTCCCACGCATAAAAGAATGTGTTGAAGAAGTGGCACACAGGCCTTCCGCCTAATGCGGGTGCGAGTGGGTTAGCGCGGGTGAGTGCGGTTAAGTGCGGTTAAGTGCAGTTGAGTGCGGGTGAGTGTTTTTTCTGCATCACGTTTTGGTGTTTCCAAGGTACTGCAGTGTTTCCAAGGCACTGCAGTGTTTCCAAGGTACTGCAGTGTTTCCAAGGCACTGCAGTGTTTCCAAGGTACTGCAGTGTTTCCAAGGCACTGCAGTGTTTCCAAGGTACTGCAGTGTTTCCAAGGCACTGCAGTGTACTGCAGTGTCACGTGTGTGTGTGTGGCCAACTCCTCCCCCTTATCGGCTCCTTATCGTATGGGCATCGTGCTTGCGAGGCTGAGGCAGAGGGATGCCATGGCATGGCATAGCAGCAGCAATAGCAGCCTTTTACGTCGACTATCCGTTTTTTTGGGAGCCTCAGAAATGGTTACCTGAATGCACTCTTTCTCTTGCACATAATATTCGTCCCTCTTCTTTCCCCACTTCCCCCTCCCCCATTCCCCGCTCCCAATTCGCCCTTCCCCATTTTCCCTACCCTTCCCACTATTCTCTCCACATGCCTTTGCCTGTCCATACCCGTGCACTCTGTGTGTGCGTGTGTATGTGCATGTGTGCTTCTCTGTTCTTCCGCCTCTGCCTCTGCCTCTGCCTGCATGTTTCTGTGTATGCACCACCCACCAGCTCACGGGCACGGGGCAGTACCTCTACAACTCAGTGTATCGCTGGACCGCACCCAAGCGACTTTTGAGGCGCCTCAGAAATAAACTTTTGCTTCTATCTGCCTCTGCCTGCATGTGTCTTCTCCCCCCCCCCCACCAGCTCACGGGCACGCGGCAGTACCTCTACAACTCAATACGTCGCTGGACCACACCCAAGCGCCTCGGCTACTCACTCGTTGACTGTGACAAGGTGAGGCTGGGGCTGTGGGTGTTGGTGTTGAGAAGCGACAGGTAGCGGGAGAGAGGCGTGAAGGGGGAGTTACTTGGGGGAGAAGCTGGGAAGGAGCAGGCGTGAGGGGAAGAGGCATGACAGACAGTGTGTGTACTGCACATATTGTGGACCGTTGCGAGTGAAGTGGAGAAATGAAGAAGGAAATAGGAAATGGGCATCTGGGTAAGCGCATTGGGATGCACAATCTCTAGTGCTTCTTTCTGCCCTTTTTCCCGCCTCTCCGTCTCCCCCTCGCCTCCAGCCCTTCAGATTGTAGTGCCAGTGCAGCAGGGCGTGCACTGGGTGCTGCCACAGGTTTTTCTATCATGAACGGTACCACTTATGAGAATTCTTCTGAGGCTCCTCAAAAGTCCTCTGGGTGCTGCTACAGGTTCTATCTTGAACGGTACCACGTTTGAGAATTCTCAAAAGTGATTTCCACAGGTTCTATCATGAGCGGTACCACTTTTGAGAATTCTCAAAAGTGATTTCCACAGGTTCTATCATGAGCGGTACCACTTTTGAGAATTCTCAAAAGTGATTTCCACAGGTTCTATCATGAGCGGTACCACTTTTGAGAATTCTCAAAAGTGATTTCCACAGGTTCTATCATGAGCGGTACCACTTTTGAGAATTCTCATAAGTGATTTCCACAGGTTCTATCATGAGCGGTACCACTTTTGAGAATTCTCAAAAGTGATTTCCACAGGTTCTATCATGAGCGGTACCACTTTTGAGAATTCTCAAAAGTGATTTCCACAGGTTGTATTATGAGCGGTGTCTTACCCCACCCCCCAACACCCCACGCCCCTCTCCCACTCCCCCCTCCCCTCTATCCGCCCATCAGATCATAGTGCCGGTACACCAAGGCGTGCACTGGGTGCTGGCCGTCATTGCACCGCGGGACAAGCGCCTCATCTTCCTCGACTCGCTGCACGGCCAGGACCGCACGTGCCTTGAGAACCTGGTGCGTGCTGGGCGAGGGGGTGGGCGAGGGAGTAGGTGAAAGCTGAGTATAGTGACGCGCTTCTGAGGCGAAACTCGCTGCATGGCCAGGACTGCACGTGCCTTGAGAACCTGGTGTGTGTGAGGGGAGTGGGGAAGGGTGGGGCTGGGATGGGGAGTTGGGGGAAAAGGGGTAGCGGATGTGGGTGACTGCTTGTGTGACTCCCTGCACGGCCAGGACCACACGTGCCTTGAGAACCTGGTGCGCTGGGAGTGGGAGAGAGGGAGAGAGAGAGAGAGAGATGGAGACAAGGAGAGGGAGTGGGGTGGGTGGGAGAGGGGAGTCGAGAGAAGTGCTTGGAAAGGAGTCAAGAGAAGAAGGTTTTGAGCACACGGCAGAGGGGGTTATCGTTTGTTCTCTAAGAATCTGGTGCGTTTTGAGTTGACTCACAGGTCACCTCATTACAATGGCACACAAAATCTTTCAGCACGCAGCAGAGGGGTGGCCGTTTGTTCCTCGAGAATCAGGTGCGTGTTAGGCATTGCGGAGGGGCGTGTGCAGGGGAGTGTGTGGTTGGGGGAAGAGGGGAGAGGGAAGGGAAGAGGGGAGAGGGAAGGGAAGAGGGGAGAGGGAAGGGAAGAGGGAGGTGGAGAGTTGAGTTGAGCTGAGTGGAGTGGAATTCCTAATTGAGACGAGTCGCATTCTGTGCGGCCTGGCCTGCAGAAGATGGTGCGGTGCACTGGGCAGTGGGTGGGTGGGGCTCAATACCCTTGGATGCTTTTCAGATTCCCTCCCCCTCACCTCCTCTCCTCCCACCTCCTCTCCCCCTCCCCACCTTTCGCTGTCTCGATCCTCTCCCCCTCTCCTTCGATTCCCATCTCTCCCGCTCTCTTGTTCGTGAAGAAAAGACGCCGTGTGACATTATACTGAGCTGACTTTAGAGTCGACTCAAAAGTCAGCTCCCCCTCCCCACCTTTCGCTGTCTCGATCCTCTCCCCCTCTCCTTCGATTCCCATCTCTCCCGCTCTCTTCCCTCCCCCTATCCCTCTTAACCCACTCTCCCCCTTTCCCCTCCCCCTATGCCTCTCAACCCCTCTTTTCTCCCCCCTCACCCTCTCCCCGTCCCCTCCCCCTACCCCAGGCGCGCTACTATGCGGACGAGGTGAAGGACAAGACAGGCAAGGTGGTGGACACGAGTGGGTGGGAGCGCTGCTTCCCACGGAAAATCCCCCAGCAGATGAACACGTGAGGCCGCAGGAGGGGGGTTGGGGTTGGGGTAGTGGGACAGGAGAAAGGGAGGGCGTGGGGTTATGTTAAGAGAGAAGGGGAGGAGAGGGGAGGGGGAGGGGGAGGGGCAGGGAGGGGATGGAGAGAGGGATGGAGAGAGGGATAAAGAGAGGGATGGAGAGAGGGATAAAGAGAGGGATGGAGAGAGGGATTGAGGGGAAGAGATTGAGGGGAAGGGAGGGAATTTCTCTTCCTTCCTACTGTGCAGGTGCTTCTGCTGCGCTCATCTTGTCTATTCCCTCCTTCGACTCCGCTCCCTCCCTGAGACTGTCAAGTCCTTCTCACCCCGTCCCCCCTTGTGCCATGAGTGCAGGTGGGACTGCGGGGTGTTCATGCTCATGTTTGCAGAGTGTGAGGCGCGGGCCATGGGCTCTCACTACAACTTCTCCCAGGTCCGTCCGTTGGTCAGTCGGTCGATCTGTTATTTGAGAATCCTTAAAGAACTGATCTGTTAGTTGTTCAGTCAGTCTGTTGCTTGGTTGGTCAGGCGTATGTTGAATTCAGTAAGGCCTCCTCTCTCCCCCCTCTCCCTCATGTATATCCTGCTGTCCTCTCTGTTCCAGAAGAGCGCTCTAGAAAGCGCACTACCCTCGATCCTCCACACCCGTGCAACTCCTTCCTCCGCTGCTTGCCTCTTGCTTGTCGTTGGCCCGTGCAGAAGGACATAGGAGTAGTTCAGGTAGAAAGCGCATTGTCCTCCAACCTCCACGTTCATGCTGACCCCCTGCTTCCCACCCTCCCTCTCTCCCTCTCCCACTCCCACTCCCACTCTCCCTCTCCCTCTCCCTCTCCCTCTCCCTCTCTCTCTCCCTCTCCCTCTCCCTCTCCCTCTCCCTCTCCCTCTCCCTCTCTCTCTCCCTCTCCCTCTCCCTCTTCCTCTCCCCCTCTCTGTTCATCGCTCACCCCTGCAGAAGGACATGGAATACTTCCGAAAGCGTATTGTGCTCGATCTCATGAGGAAGCACGTGGACTGACGAGCACATGGCGCCGCAACCATGATGTGGCACCATGTTTGCTGATGTGGCATGTACCCGTTTGACCTTGGCACACGGAGCGGCAATGCTTGCTGACATGTTGACACAGGGCAGAACAACTGACTAGCCAATGAAGTGGGGGGAGAGAGGGGACGGGGAGGGGAAGGAGGGGGAACAGGACAGAACCACATTTAACTACACGCAGGTGGCTGATATGGAACATATGTTTGTTATATCTAAAGGGTGTTTCGAGAAGGGGGCTTTCAATAAGCGTGGCGCTGTGGTGTTCTCTTGTTGGTTAATGGAGATGTCACAGGGGCTATATCCATGGCCTGTGATGGGTCACGGGTGGTGCTGCTGCAGGAATGGTGCGAGTATTTTGAGTTGTAGATTTACTGTCAGCTTATCTTAGTGTGGGTGCTAGCAGGTTAAATGGGAACAATTGTGAGGGAGTAACATCATTGTTCCGCTGCTCCTACAGAACCAGCACTAGTGAAACGAAATTTATGACTTCCGAAAGTCACTTCTTATCTCCAGCTTCATCCAAGGGATGGAGATAATTAGCTGCCGTTATCGGATCATGATTGCAAAGTGGGCAATGGGCTTAGTAGTATCGAAGTGGGTGAAGCTAGCAGCCTCTTGGACTCGTTGTGGGTCGTAGCCCATATGCTGCAGCTGCCCTTGAATGTGAATCGTGACGGTTGCGTGCACCATCACCACAGAATCCCGTACTGCAAGCAGCACCTTGCGCAATTCTGCGGTTTTGAGAATTCTCAAAAGCGACCTTGCGCAATTGCAACGCTTGCGGAAGCCATGGCGCTCGCGTCGCTAGCGTGCGCGTCTCCTACCGTCGCCGCGTCCTCACTCGCCTTTGTCGCAGCGCGCGCAACCTCCTTTCGCCGTCACTACGCCTACGCCGCTCTCGCGCTGCGCCTGCCGCTCATGCGGCCGCCGTTCCCCGCGCTTTCCGCCGATCCCTCCGGCCTATGCACGCGCAACCAGCCCCCGTTACGCGCACAACCCCAATCGCAAGCGCAGTCACAGCCGCGAATGCAGGTCCCAATGGCGGCTAGCGGTGGGGGGAAGGGTTTTGGGGGTAGCAGCGGAACGTCCTCTTCTAGGCGCAGCAGCTCCGGGGGACGCGGCGGTAGAGCGGGAGGAGGAGGGGTAGGCGGAGGCGGAAGCGGAAGGGGGGGCGGAAGTGGGTTGGCGGATGCGCGCAGCAGCGATCCCGCGGAGGCTTTCGGGTTGCCGGAACGATCAGTGGCGCTAAACGAGCTCATGCGCGTGCGTGCCTCCTTCGCCCCTCTTCTCTCAACCCATCCCGCTCCCTTTTGACCCGCATGCGCGGTGAACGATTTGATGCGCGTCTGTACCTCCTCCCCCCTTCCTTGTTGGCCCCGACTTAATATTTCATCCGTTTTTCCCCGTATGCACACTGAACGAGCTTGTGCGCTTGTGCGCCTCCTCGCCTTCCCCATCCTCCCCCGCTCTTCATCCCGCCCCAGTCTTTTCCCAAACTAGGCACCTCCCTTGGAAAGCCCTCTTTTTCGTTCTCGAGTTTCGTTCGGATTGCGAATTGGGAGTTGCCTGCAAGTACTCCGTTCACAACGTCCCCGTTTTGTCCGGATGCCCCTCCATTCCGCCGCCTTTTCCGCCGGCCAATCAGGTGCTGCTAGAGGAGGAGATGCGCCAGCCGCACGAGCGCATGCAGCACGCGCGCGAGCAGCGCGACCTGGCGGAGGCGGCGCTGGAGACGCGCCAACGCTGGGATCGGCGGCGGGAGGCGCGCGGCCGGCGCGCGGAGAGGCAGGGGCGCGCGGAGGCCGCCATGGACGCGATGGACGCGGAGGAGGCGGCGATTGCGGCGGCCATGGCGAAGGTCAAACCGGGTGACCCTAGCCAGTGAGTGGCGTGGCGTGACGTGGCGTGGCGTGGCGTGGCGTGGCGTGGCTTGGCGTGGCGTGGCGTGGCGTGGCGTGGCGTGGCGTGGCGTGGCGTGGCGTGGCGTGGCGTTGCGTGGCGTGGCGTGGCGTGGCGTGGCGTGGCGTGGCGTGGCGTGGCGTGGCGTGGCGTGGCGTGGCGTGGCGTGGGGTGGCGTGGCGTGGCGTGGCGTGGCGTGGCGCGGCGTGGCTTGGCGTGGCGTGGCGTGGCGTGGCGTGGCGTGGCGTGGCTTGGCGTGGCGTGGCGTGGCGTGGCTTGGCGTGGCGTGGCGTGGCTTGGCGTGGCGTGGCGTGGCGTGGCGTGGCGTGGCGTGGCGTGGCTTGGCGTGGCGTGGCGTGGCTTGGCGTGGCGTGGCGTGGCGTGGCGTGGCGTGGCGTGGCGTGGCGTGGCCTGGCCTGGCTTGGCGTGGCGTGGCTTGGCGTGGCGTGGCGTGGCGTGGCGTGGCGTGGCGTGGCGTGGCGTGGCGTGGCGTGGCCTGGCCTGGCTTGGCTTGGCATGACCTGATATGGTTTTTGCCAGTAGCGCGGACCGTGACTTAGAGTTACCATCCTAGAGAGAAACCCGAGACAAGAACACTTTGCAGATGAATAGCCGCAATAACCGCAACAGCCGCTCTAGCTCTAGCTGCGTTGGGCGCGAATGGCGAGGATTTATCCGGGTTATGTAACCAAGGGAGACAAGCCGCGAGGCAGGGAGAGCGCTAGTGGTCAGGTTGTGGTTTTGATCAAGAGTGAGGTTTAAGCTTGTTTTGTCTGAGAATTCTCAAAAAACATGATCAAGAGTGGGGTTTAAGCTGCTGCTACGCCACGTGTCTTCTCGTGCCCCACCGTTCCCCAGGCCCCCACCCTCCCCCGCTTCCCATCTTCCCTCCCCTTTTCCCCCTTTCCCCGTCTCCAGCGCCAATCCCCCCCAACATCATCCCCCCCCGGAGGAGGAGCTGCGGATGCTCAAGGCCTGGGCTGCGCGCCAAGCAACCCTTTCCACCCCTTCATCCCCCAGTCCCGCTGCCCCTCTCCCCGCACCCTCCCCTTCTCCCCCCCCTCTCTTTCCGCCTGCCCGCAACCTCGCCCCTCCTTCCCCCCCCCAGCCTGATCCCCGCGGAAGAGGAGCTACAGATGTTCAAGGAGTGGGCGGCGCGCAAGCTGCGGGGCGCGCCCAGGGGCGCGGAGGGCGTGGCGGTGGCGCGCGGACTGGCGCACATGCGGCGCACGCTGGAGGGCGCGGTCAGGGAGGAGCAGGACGCGCGCAGGCGCGGAGGCGCAGGCGGAAGCGGGGGCAGCGGGGGGGTTAGGGAGATTGAGGGGAGTGGGGAGAGAGGGGGAGGGGTGAGGGGGAGGAAGGGGAATGAGGGGGGGAGGGTGGAACAGGCATGGGAGAGGGATCAGCGCGAGTGGGGGACGATGTGGGCCAAGGGGAGTGGGGGAAGGGGCGCGGGGGAGGGGGGAAGGGGCGCGGGGGAGGGGGGAAGGCGCGCATTGGGGGATGGGGTGGCGGAAGTGGTGGCGGGGTTGGAGGAGAGGCGGCGGAGGATGGGGGGAGGGGAGGGGGAGGGGCGGAGAGGAGTCCGGGGAGAGGGGGAATGGGGGGCGGAAAGAGGGGAGAAGAGGAGAAAATGGGGGGGAGAGAGGGGAGAGGTGGATACGCGGAGAGGGGAGCGGGGGGGGCATGTGAGGGCGAGGAGTTGGGGCAGTGGGGCGGAACGGAGGGGCGGAAGCTATGAGGGGAGGGGGGACGTGAGCATGGGGGGAGATGTAAGAAGCGTGCCATGGTTGCGAGAGGGAGGCAGGGCGGATGGGGGAGTGTGGGACTTTAGGGATGGAGCAAGGGCAGCAGTGGCAGGAAAGGCAGCAAGGGCCGGACGGGAAGGAAGGGAGGGAAGGGAAGGCAGTGGGGTTTGGGCTGGTGGTGAGGTGGTGGAGAGAAGGGGACGAGGGCGCTTGGATAAGGGGGCGAGAAGCGAGGGGGGTGCGGTAGTGATGGACAGGGAGAGGAGGGGACAGCGAGGAGAGATGGGAGGGAGAGAGTCGAGAGAGGAGAGAGGGAAGATCGTGAAAGGGGGACAGGGTAAGGGTAGGAGAGGGGAGGAGGAAGAAGAGTGGGTGTGGGGCGGGGGGAAGGGGGGTGGGGAGGGGCAGGTGCTGCCGTGGGAAGGGGGCAGTGGGAACCTGCAGTGCAGTAGCAGCAGCCCTGCTAGGGGGATTGGAAATGGGAATGGGAGTGGAAGGGCGAGTGGGAGTGGGAGTGGGAGTGGGAGTGTGGGGGAGGAGGAGAGGGTGGTGGTGGTGGGAGCACCTAAGGGTGTGAGGGTGACTGTGGGGGCGGGAGGGTTCAGTGCTGCTGACTGGCTGGCTCAGGTGAGACGCACATGCTTTGCTCACAGCATGCACATGCACATGCACACACGCATGCACATGCACACGCACATGCACATGGCAACACCCACACCCACACCCACCACACGCCATGGCACCAAGAGGGCGAGAGACTGATGTAGGCGGGGAAAACGTACCCGTTTGCCCTGCTCACACAATCTTACACACAACCTTACTCCCCCACTCACCCCCCATCTCCCTCACCTCCGCACACAGTCTCTCATTCCGCTTCCTCACACACCCATTCCCCATCTCCAGTTCCTGCTCCTTCCTCCTTCTCCTTCCCTTTCCCCTCCCACGCTGACCATTTCTCACCTCACAGGATGCCACCCCTCCTCCCTTCCTCCCTCCCTCTCTCTCTCCCCTTGCCGTATCTCCCCCCCCCCATCCCCCACTCCCACCCACCTTTCCAGGCGAACCAGAAGCAAACTCCTCCCTTCGCCGGGCCCTTGGGGCCGCCTCTCTCTCCCCCGTTCTCTCCTCTCCACACTCACCCTGCCGCTGCCGCCCATCCATTGCTGAACAGCAACAGCAACAGCAGCAGCAACAGCAGCAGCAACAGCAGCACTGCACCCAGCTCCTCTCCTACCACCACCACCTCCCCCACGCACCCGGGAATGTCCCCTGCTCTCCGCGCGCTCATCACTGGGCGTGCGGTTGGTGGTGGTGGTGGTGGTGGTGGTGGTGGTGGGGGCATGGGGCTTGCTGGGACTGATGCATTTGCTGGGCAGAGAGGGCTTAGCAGCGTTGCTGCTGGGGCGGGAGGTGAGACGCGGGGTGGGGGAGAAGGGGAGCTGGGGGAATGGGGAGGCGGCGAGAGAGGGGGAGAGAGATGGGGAGAGAGAGGGGGAAAGGAGGGAGAGGGAGGAAGTGGGGGCGGGAGAGGGGGAGGGAGACAAGGAGGCAGAGGTAGGGGCACGGGGAGTGGTGCACGGCACGGTGGCAGCTGGGGGAATGGCGTGAGGGGAAGAGCCATGGGCGGGTCAGCAGCAGGAGGGACTGTCCTGAGCAGGCAAGGAGGGCCGCTGGGGGGAACTGTTGCGTGGGGGAGAGGCTTTGAGAGGGAGGTTGGCGGGGTGCGAAGCATGGGGGGCCGAGCAGGGAGTGGGGTTGGAGGAAGAGCGGGTGCAGGGAGTGTGGCGGTGGGTGCTGGTGGTGGGGCGGCGGGGGTGGGCGGTGGGGCAGAGGATATGTGGGATAGACTGGAAAGCGAAATGAGTGCTAGCATCGAGGAGGGGGCATGGGGAGAGAAGGAGGGGGAGACTCAGGTGCAGACAGTCAAGGGACTGCAAGGCAACAGCAAGAGCAAGGGTAGTGCCATGCCTGCCATGCCAGCAGTGGTGAGCATGAGTACATCTGCCTCCTTCCAACCCATGACCCGCCCCGCCGACCCCTCCTCCCGGGCCACCAGCCCCAGAGGTGGCAGCAGCAGAATCAGCACAGTCAGCAGCAGCAGCGACAGTGGCACTACTGGCAACATCAGCAGCGGCAGTGCCCGTTGGACACGTGGGCCCATCTCCCCTCCCCTGGAAGCCCTCCTCTCCTCCTCCATCTCGCCCCGCTCCCCCTCCCAACCACCCCTGACAAACGCCCCCGCCTCCTCTGCTCCACCCCCGCTGCTGGTGCAGCGACCCACCAGCACAACCGCCTCTCCCCCGTTCACTCTCCCAGACAACCTCGACGGGCCAGCCGGCTCAGTCTTCCTGATCGACAAGCCCAAGACCTGGACGTCCTTCGACGTCTGCGGGCGCCTGCGCCACCTCCTGGGGATCAAAAAGGTGGGCCACGCGGGGACTCTCGACCCCATGGCCACCGGCCTGCTCGTCGTGTGCGTCGGCCGCGCCACCAAACTCGCAGACTCCTATCAAGCCATGACCAAGGAATACACAGGCGTGATGAAGCTGGGAGAGGGTACCCCGTCGCTGGATGCGGACACAGAGGTGTGTGAGAGGAGCGAGTGGGAGGGGGTGACGGGGGAGAGGCTGAGGGAGGCGGCGGAGGGGTTTCTCGGGGAGTGCTGGCAGGTGCCACCGGCGTTTTCGGCGCTGAAGGTGGGGGGGGTGAGGGCGTATGCGATGGCAAGGAAAGGGCAGGAGGTGGAGCTGAAGGCCCGGCCGGTGACGATCGAGGAGTTTGATGTGTGGCGGGCGGGGGAGGGGGAGGGGGAGGGGCGTGTGGGAGAGGACGGCAGCAGTGACAGCGGCAGTGGCAATAGCGGCAGCAGCAGCAGCAGCAGCAAAAGCAGCAACCCTTTCTCGTCGAGCCAGTACGTGCACTTCCGAGTGGTGTGCTCCAAGGGCACCTACGTCCGCACTCTACTGGCCGACCTAGCGCAGGCCGTAGGCACGGTGGGGCACCTAGTGGCGCTGAGGAGGGAGAGGATTGGGGACTTGAATGTGCGGCGTGCTGTGAGTGTGGATGAGGTGGTGCAGGCATGGATTGAGAAGCACCCTGGGGAGGAGGTGCGCGGGGGGAGAGGGGAGGGTGGGGGGCGGGGCGGGAGTGGTGGGGGAGGGAGGAGGGGTGGGAGAGGGGGAGGGAGGAGGGGGAAGGGTGGGAGGGAAGGTGGGTTTGAGGGGAAGGAACGGGAGTGAGTGGATGGGATGGAAGTTGAGTTGGAAGGATGTGGTTTGAAGGAGTGGTGAACGGTTATTGTAGTATGTGCTGTTTGTGGCGAACAAAGATGGTTAGAGGGATATCGTGATGGTTGTGCAGACACGAGGCGCGCTATCAAGTGGCATGTGTGCTGAATGCTACCATACTATCAAAAGAAAAAATCGATTGACTACACGTAGAGTTTAAGAGGGAGTGCGACAGTGATGATGACGAGACATGAGGTCATCATGTGGTGATGAGAAGAGGACAGCACCATGTCCTCTTGTTTTAATATACTTTGGTATTATATAGGAATATCCGTTTTCGTGTATTATCAAAGCTCTGAATGGTAAGGAGCTATAATTCCAAGTACAACCCAAAGATCTCGCGTCAGTTGGTTCGGCCTGCATTTCCACCCCGAACCAGTTCCGAGTCGCCACAGCACCTTTCGCGACATTTCCGAGCCTCATTTACCCCGACGTTTTCGCCTAGCCTCGATTCTGCCTACTTGAGCTCGTTTAGCCTCGACATTCGTCCATTCAGTAGACATTCTTCCTACGTGGTTTTCTTTAGGAAGAATACCTACCTCTGCACTTCAGTCCTTTTCTGTCCTCAATCACAGCATTGGGGAGGGGAACATTTGGGCGACCATTCCCCTGCGGGTCGTACAGCTTGTGGCGCAGTACTTTAGAGCTCGATGCCGTGCGATGCGCAATTGCTTGTGCGGTCCTTCGCCGTTCACGTTACGCGTACAGCTTCGCCGAGCTCCGCCGCGTACCGTCGCACACCGTCGCGCACCGTCGCGCGATTCCACCCTTCCCCATTCGCCGCTCCTCGCACCGCCTCCTCGAGTCCTGTCCATGCCTCTCGAATCAGCACCAGCTTTTCAACACGGCTCAAAACTAGCGTTCGTGGTTCCTTGGTCACATTTTACAAGGCAACTCGCGTAGCCGCATTGCACGCAGGTCGTTTTCTCCAATCCTAAAAAGCGACTCGCCCCGTAGCCCCGTGGAAAGCAGCTCTCGTCAATCAGAGAGACTACCGTGGTGGTAGAATCGATTCTTAAAAGCGAGAATTTTTAAAAGCGACGGACTCAGAATCATTTGTAGCACCGCACCACGACGTCTCTTCGTCTCAATCTTCTCTTTGCATCGCACCTCTCACTGCTCTCCATCCGTCGTCACTTCCCCCCTCTTGCCCGCTGCTTGCAGTAGTTGTCGGCCCAGCCTGCTACCAACTGCAGTGCCAATTCTCGCTGCCAGACAGCGTTGTGAAGCCCACCCGAAACCCGACTGAAACCCACCTGAAGCCCACTTGACGTCTACCTCTTGCCTTGCCCTGACTCGTGCTGCCCTGTGCTGCCCTGGCACGAGGCAGGTGTGCAGTGCAGCGCCCCGGAGCGAGGGAAGCCATTGGATCCACTCGGGAAAGCAGCAGGTGTAGAGGCGACTCGACTCGCCATCGGATGGAGGTTGCAGTGAGGGCGCTCGGCGCGCAGCTGGCGGAGATGCGGAGGGAACTGGCGGAAACGCGGAGAGAACAGGCGGAGACGCGGAAAGAAATGGAGGAGTTGAGAGCGATGGAGCAGCGAGTGCGAATGGAGGTGGCACAGGCGCGGGAGGAGAGGCAAGCAGGAGCGAATGAGTGGCGGCACCAGCTGGCAGGAGTGAGCGCTGCAGTGGTGGAGAGGGAGAGAGAAACAGGGGAGATGGCTCGGGCTGTGAGTGCACTCCAGTGCAAGGTGCAGGGGGTGCAAGGATTTATGCGCAGCCGTGCAGGGAAAGGGGAGGTGGCGGCTGTGAGGAAGCGACTAGGGGGATTGAGGAAGGGCGTGATGGGCGCAGTGAGAAGAGAGGTGGCAGCAGCGGTGAGGGCGGAAGTGGCAGCAGCAATGGGGGAGAGAAGAGGAGCGAAGCAAGAGGTGCAAGGGGCGGTGCAGCGAGATGAGCAGCTAGAGGAGCAGCGAGAGGAGCGGCGAGAGGAGTGTGAGAGTGAAAGCAAGTGTGGGAGTGAGTGTGAGCACAAGGGCCTTGTGGCGCAGCTGGTGCAGGAGAATGCGACCCTCATGTGCGAGAAGACTGTTGCCGAAGCAGAGCTGCGAGAGCTGCGAGCACAGTTAGAGGCGCTGAGAGCAAGTCAACAGAGAGAAGGGATGGGAATGGATATGGGGTTGCAGCCAGTACAGGGACAAGAGGAGGCAGGACGGGTTGAGACTCATGATTGCAAGGAGCTGGCAGGAGAAAGCACTGCAGTGGCAGCGAGGGAGGGAGAAGTAGGAGAGGTGGGTCGGGCTATCAGTGCGCTCCAGGCTACGGTGCAAGGGGGTATGCAGAGCGGTTATGTAGGGGATGTGGCGTCAAAAGTGAGGCTGGCAGGGGCATGGAAGGACGTGTTAGAAGCAGTGAAAAAGGAGGTGACAGAAGTGGTGTTGGCTGTGGTGACGGTGGACGAAGACGACGGGGCACGAGTGCTGACACCGATGCAGAAATTGAGGGTGAGAATGCTGGGGCCGCACTCGGAGCGAGAGTTCCGGAGAGCGATGGGGCAGAGAATGTTGCGGGCGATGTGTGATTGCGAGAACAAGGGGTGTGTGGCGCACCTGGTTCAGGAGAGCTCAGAGCCTGAGTATGTGAAAAAGGCAAATGATGCATCAGCAGAGGTGAAAGAGCTAAAAGAGGCTTTGGGTGCTGCACTGCGGAGGAATGATGAGATGGGCGCCATGGTGGAGGAGAGGGCGAAGGAGCTGGCTCAAGTGAAGGGGGAGCTGAATAGGGTGTTGGCTGAATGGCAGAGACAATTGACTGAAGCTCCAAGAGAGCTGGACGTTGACAAGGAAATCAGGGAGAGCACGGGGGATCGACGGGAGATATGGCAGGTGAGCGTGAATGTCTTCCCTGTACTTCCCTTGTTAAAAGAAATACAAAAAAAAAGGTAAATTGTGTGTGCAAATCAGCTGTTTATTGTGTCTACTTGCTCCTACTCGTGTTGTTTCTACCCTCCCTCCGCACCAGGCTATCCAAACAGCCTCGCAAGGAAAAAAGCTGGATCTGAATTTGAGCAGATTATCGTGCCTCTCCGACGCAATGCTGGGCCATGTTTCCACCATGACCCACCTGGAGTACCTTCACCTGGATGAATCTTCAGGGTTCAGTGCACTGGGTATGAGACAGGTCTACTCCCTGCGAGGGTTGGTGGAACTGTTTGTGCGAGGGGCAGCTGTCACGGACGAGGCACTAGAAGGCATCAATGTGTTGAAGAACTTGGAACGGCTCTTCCTAAGCGAAACTGATGTGAGCGATGAGGGCCTGCGGCATCTCCCAGGCCTAACATCACTGCGGGAACTATTTCTTTCTGAGTGCTGGCGCGTCACGTCTGCAGGCATGGTGCATGTGGGGAAGCTGAAGAGTGTTCGGATGCTGGGGTTGAGAGATACGGGCGTGAAAGATGATGGGTTGAGGCACTTGGCTTCGTTGACTCGGCTGGAAATACTTGATCCACCGGAAGGAAATTGCATTAGCAGCCAGGAGCAGCTTCGCAGACTTTTAGGCAGTGACCAAGGGAGGGAATAGGTAAGAGGTAAGATGGATGGTGAAAGTCGGGGTTGAGGCGTAAAGTTAGTAATATGTGAAGGGGGATGGCTGAAGGCTGAGGGGGGCCTGAGTAGGGTGATGGCTGAGGAGCAGAGAGAAGTTACTGAAGCTAGCAGAGAGATGGACGTTGAAAAGGAACTCTGTAGAGCACAGGGGATCAAAGAAAGATATGGCAGGTGAGTGTGAATGTCTTCCTTGTTTTTTCCTTCCAAGGAAAAAACAAAAAGGGAAAAGAAAAAGAGCAATGTTCGCACTTCACCTTGTTCACTTGCTTCTACCCGTGTTGTCCCTACCCGCCCTCCGCCCTGGGCTATCCAATCCAGCATCACAAGGAAAAGACCTGTACCTGGGTCTGAACAGATTCTCATGCTGGGTCTGTACCTGTACAATGCCAGGCCACGTGTCCACCATGACCCACCTGGAATGCCTTCATCTGGGTGACTGCACGGGGTTCAGTGCAGAGGGTGTATAAGGCAGCTCTGCCGCCTGCTAGGGTTAGCAGAACTATTTGTTCAAACAGCGCCCGTATGAGACGAGGCACTGGAAGGCCTCGGCGCGTTGAAGTACCACTTGGAACGCCTCTTTCTCAGCGAAACCAATGTGAGCGATGAGGGCCTGCGGCATCTCACTTCACTGGTCTTTTGTCACTGCGGGATCTGAATCTGTCAGAGTGCTGGCGCGTCACCTATGCTGGCATGGTTCATGTGATGAAGCTGACGAGCCTGCGGAGGCTCGGGTTGAGAGATAATAGCGTGAAGGCGGGTTGCGGCACTTGACTTCGTTGACTCACATGGAAGTGCTTGATCCACCCGAAGGATTTACCGGCAGTGGTTAGGAGCAGCTTCGCAGATGGCTATGTGTTGATTAGTGAGGAGAATGGATTGTGAATAGAGGTGTAAGGGGAGGGAGGGCATAGTTTGAGGATGGGGTTGTTCGGGATGTAGAGGTTGTGGTGAAATATAAAGCCCTCATATAGGTTATTGGCAACCCTGATCCACACACACACACTCACTCACATACACATGTGTCAAGAATGAGAGTGTTGTGTTATTGATGAGGGTTGGGGTACATATAACAAACCATAACATTTGTACCCCCTTAGACAAACCTCACTATAGGCTACAACAATTGACACACCCCCATAGCCTAAGTGAGGGGTGTCAAGCGAAACCAAAAGTGTACGGTCACAAGACCAGTCACAAAGATACAAAGCTCAGGGTGGATCACAACGTCACCACACAATCTGAGCACAAGCAACAGGGGCCACAAGGCTAGTCCAAGGGCTCACAAAGGTGTATGGCAAGAGTACAAGCAAAGCAAACAGTAAAATCAAGCCTACACACAACTAGAACCTGTGTCAACAAGACCTAACTGCACACAACACCTTTGGTGGTCACAAGGCGGAAGCGCCTTGGTGAAGATGTCTGCAATGTTGTCCTCGGACTCCACAAACTCGAAGCGAGCCTGTCCACGTCTCTGCAACTCACGCAGAAGAAAGTATCTGACGTTAATGTGCCTCACTCTGCTCTCCAGATGCGGCTCTCGACAAAGGAGAATCGACGCCTTGTTGTCAGTGAACAAGGTCAGTGCAGAGCTCGGCCGCTCACCAAGGTCGGCGAGCAAGAAGGTCAACCAACGCAGCTCCTGTGCCGCCATGGCACCAGCGTAGATCTCAACCTCAGCAGTAGAGGTCGAGACCGAAGAGGAGCGCGTGGACCTCCACGAAACAGCTCCAGAACCCAAGCTGAAACAGTAGCCCCTGAATAGACTTGTGAGTCTCAGCGTCGTCAGCGTAAGAATAGTCACAGTGACCAGTGAGTACGACAGACTGCTGCCCTCCAAGAACTAGCCCCACGCCTGATGTCGTCGCTAGGTACTTCGCCACCCTCACAGCTGCCATCCAGTGAACAGGACGGTGTCTCTCTGGCGCAACAAAGCGAGCAAGGATGCTGAGAGGGAAGGCGAGGTCCGGGCGAGTACAAGTCATCAGGTACATGAGGCAGCCCACCAGCTCTGCGTAGGGACCACTAGACTCAAATGGCTCGTCAGAAAAGGGTCCAGTAAGTATGTGGTCAACAGCAAGAGGTGTGCGCTGTACTGTGGAGTGCTGAAGCTCGAACCGCTGAAGAACCTGCTGCACCATGTGTGACTGTGAGAGTGTAATGGTGCGAGCAGCTCTGTCCCTGGTGATCTGCAGGCCAAGGTAGTGGCGCAGCTCACCAAGGTCATTGCACGTGTGTCTCTTCTTCAGTTCGGACTTCACGTCTGCCAAGGCAACCCTATCAGCAGTGGCGAAAGCCAAATCATCGACGTAGACCAGAATAAAGAAAGGTGTGGAGCCACGACGGACGAACAGCGACGGGTCGGCAGAAGACGGCTGGAAACCAAGGTCAGAGAGGGTAGAACGAAGGGTGTCGTGCCTCTCAAGAGGAGCCTGACGGAGACCGTAGACAGGTTGCCTCAGCCTCCATTGGGTCCCAGGAGGGAAAGTGCCAGTGAAGGCAGAGGGACGATGCAGCCAGACCTCCTCGTGTAGGCTACCCTGAAAGAAACGCAGTAGAGAAGTCGAGAGAGTGTAACTCGTAGTCTCTCTGTGCTGCTACGTGTAGTAACACCCGAAGAGTGGTCATCTTCAAGGTAGGCGCGAAGGTCTGAAAGAAGTTAACTCCCTCGCGCTGACTAAAACCTCTAGCCACATAGCGCGCCTTGAAGACCGGAGGAGATCCCGGTGGCCGCTTCACCCTGTAGATCCACATACCATCGACTATGTTCGCCCAAGGGGGGGGGGACCTCGTCGACGTAGGTGCCTGTGGATCTCTAGGAGGCCATCTCTGCGTCCATGGCAGCTCTCCACTGAGAGGCCCAAGTCCTTGACACTGCCTCAGCGTAAGTGCGAGGAGTCGGTATCTCAAGGGCGTCGGGGTCTCCCTCAGGGGCGAGCAGCATGGCACAGAGATGAGGGGAAGCGGCTGCCAGGAACTCTAGCTCAAACTGCCTGTCCTCTAGGGCGTCACACCCAAGGGTAGAGTCACCCCCGATGGCCAGAGGACTGGTAGGAGGAGCAGCCACGAGACAAGTGGCGTAGTCAAGGCGGCAAGTAGTGGCGAACTCGGTGACGGCGACAGTAAGGGCGGAGACAGAGGACAGAGAGGCACGAGGGTCCGTAACATGAGAGGCAAGAATACGAGGGAGAACAGGATGGTACGTGCGGTAGTAGTCAGTGACAGGAGTAGAGAGGGAAGTAGTGAAGGCTGACTCAGGAGGAGAAGGAAGCACAGACTGAGACGAACAAGGCGGACTAGAACGGAATAGGGCAGTACGAAGGTCAGTGAGAGCGACAGGGGACGAGGGACGAGCACGAGGAGAGCGACAAGAGGGCTAGGCGGGCAAAGGAGGAGGAGACAACAGAGTCGGAGAACGAGGGAGAATAGCTGGGGAGAAGTCAGGAGGAGGAAACGTGGGACCGTAGACAAGAGGAGAGGGGGAGAAGGAAGGAGAGGGAGAGGGGAAACCGAGGGTCCGAAGACCAGAGATAGGAGGAGGAGATGGCGGCTGCTGCTGCTCCTGGTGTGGCTGCGACCTCTGCTCCTCCAGCGGCGGCTGCTCCAGCTGCGACTGCTGCTGCTGCTCCCGCGGCTGCTGCTGCTCCTCCAGCCTCTGCTGCTGCTCCTCCAGCCTGTACTGCTGCTGCTGCTGCTCCACCTCCAGCCGCTGCAACTCTCTCTCCTCTCTCTCTAACTCCAGCTGCTCCTCACGGGCATGGCGAACACGAGCCTGGTGCTGAGTCGGTTAGGGGTGGGGGGGAGGAGTAGTGTGCGGGGCCGCGGCAGCCCCAGGACCACCCTCCAAAGCACCCGGCGCACCACCCTTAGAGGCAGTACCACCAACAGCAACACGGTCAAGCTCACAAGGACCCGAAGGGGGCGCACTCGCACCCCCAGACGTAGCACCCCCAGAGTCAGCACCACCGACACCAGCTCCCGGAAGACGAGAGTCTCCTGCAGCCTCGGACTCAGCCCCAACTCCAGCACCCCCAAGTCTGAGGAGTCCTCTGGGAAACGAAGGAAGACAGACGGAACGGCGCGAGGCGAGATCTTGTCCGAGGAGGTGTCACGAACAAGAGCCAAGCAACCCAAGACACGAAACCGCGACGCAACACCAGGGGACCCAGTCCAAAGACTCGTCGGTGAAATCTCTGGCCGAGAGACACGTGGCCAGAGGTTCAGCTGGTGAGCGGCGTACCTAACCGCGTAGGGCCACAGAAAACGGGGGGCACGGGCGTGAGTCAAGGAGGTGCGGGCGATCTCCATAACTAAGCCTATGCCGCGCTCAGCAACCCCATTCTGCTGTGGGGACTCTGGAAGCGTCTAGGACTGACGAATGCCCTACTCACGACAGAATCCAGCGAGAATGCCGGAGCGAAACTCACCCCCACGGTCGGAGTGAAGACAGCTGACTCGACGACTACGAGTGCCCTCAGTGGTAAGCAACCACCTGATTAGCGTAGAAGTCACCTCAGACTTCTTCGCAAGGGGGGACATTGTGGTGTAGCGGGAGTAGTCGTCAACGACCACCAGAAAGAACCGCTCACGCTCAAGGCCAAGGCGAGAGGCAGGGCCCCAGACGTCCAAGTGGAACGTCTCAAAAGGCTCGGTGGCCAGACGAAGGGAGGAGGAGTGAGGGGTGGCGCGCAGCCGACCCTCGACGCAGGGACCGCACGGTGGTGCAAGCGAAGGCGGCAGCGACGGGAAGACATGTGGGAGGCCTAAGACAAGACACTGACGAGACATAGTGCGCAGACAAGGGAGAGACAGGTGCCCCATCCAGTGGTGCCACAGAACGGTGGGGTGGGCAAGTGACCGGCAGGAGCATGACGCAGCAACTGGACAAGACATGGGAACCTTACCAGACACAGCTACCTGGGGGGACGCAGCAACCTGGTGAGACGCAGGGACCAGACTAGGAGAAGGAACAGGGGCCGGGGGCAGTAGTCGCTGCTGCTGCTGCCCACCAGAGCCAGTGTGAAGTGTGTAGAGACCAGAGCCCGGCTCAGCTGTAAAGGTGGCAAGAGGCGTGTAAGTGTCACCGTCAACACAAACCGCCGTCTCACCAGAGGGCTCAATCCACACACCCACATGCTGACTCACAAGAGGCCTCACGCCCACCAAGCTCTGCGAGAACGAGGGGACGTGGAAGCCAGTCAGAGACCCACAGGGAACAGCAGGGCACGGAAGAGTAGTAGTGTAGCGAGAAGTGACTGGTCCCGAGGTGGGATCAGCCAGAGCCACAGAGACCGGTGCCGGAAGCGGAGTAAGTGTCGTGTGGTCGCGGAAGAAGCAGTGCGAAGCCCCAGAGTCCAAAGTGAAAGTCAGCGAAGTGTCCTCCGAAGTAGCTCCTGGACTAGTGTCTACACAAGTGCCTACACTAGCAACAGGCAACTCATCAAGACTAGCACCTAAGCTAACAACACTCGAGTAAACAGAGTCAGAAGCACTAGAGTCAACCAACTGAGAAGCTGACATGCCCCAAAGAGCGGAGCCGTACGTCTGAACAAGAGGAAACCAGTCAGGGGCAGGGCCGCCAACGCCAAAGGCCAAGCGAACTGTGTCAGTGCACTGAGAAAAACACTGACCAGGAGGGTGGGCGCGGCCACAAGGCTTCGGCGAGCACCTGTCAAAAGCTTATAGGTGCACGAAGGGTGAACAACACCTCGTTGGGGCTGGCGCTGTCCTGGCCCCGAAACCTGCTGCTGCCGCGAGGGCTGCTACGAGGGGAGGGGCTGCTGCTGCTGCAGCTGCTGCTGCCGCTGGGCCAGGTACCACGCCGCTGCTCCACTCGCCGCGGCCGGTAGACCAGAAGGTGGCGGACGAGCCCGGGTGTCGCCTCCACCAGCTGCAGTAGGGGAGTCACTGGCCGCTGTACGAGACGCCTCTCCAGGCCCTGCGCTCCCTCCGCCACCAGTCGGCACGCCACCCCCGCCAACTCTGCCACCAACGCCTCTACCTCCGCCGCCACCTGTACCCTGACCGCCCCTCTTACCACCTCTACCTCAAGACCGCGAAGAAGTCGTAACAGCAGCTGCGGTCACGTCAGTAGCAGCAGTGGCGAGCGATGTTATAAAGGTGGGCAGCTGAGGGACAGTGCACCCGTGGAACAGTGGAGGGGCACAACACCAGATGCGGAGGCTACGGAGCGGAGGTTGCTCTTGACGTCCTTGAGCGCAGACTCAAGGACCTCGATAGTGAGCTCACTAGGGTGCTTCAGGAGAAGCGTGTCATGGACCGAGGCAAGGCGGTCAGGGAGGCTAGTGGCGATGAAATAGATAGTAATCACCATGGGGTGAGGAAGCAGTGCAAGCTGTGCCTCAGTGCAAGCAGCGCGGTAGCTAGAATCAAGCGAGCGGAGGTGAGCAATCAAGTCTGCAGAGAAACGAGGCGAGGTCAGGGAACAGGAACGGTAGGAAGAGTCGGCCAAGAGAGACAGTGGTGGGAGTAGCGTAGCGGGCCTTAATCGCGGTCAGGAACTCACTAGTAGTGCGAACCTGAGTGAAGTGAGCCTCCTCAGACTCAGGGAGGAGGCTTCTAAGAGCGATGCAAGCCGCAGCATCACGCGACTTCCACGAGGTGAGGTCAGCACGCTGGCGGGTAAAGCGGTCCATGGCTGCAAAACGCGGGCGCAACGGTGCTAGGGGCAGTCCCGCGGTGGACCGAACGAGTAGGCGCAGCGGTGCGAAGGAAGGGCCTAACGAGCGGGCCGACAGCGGACTTAACGAGGAGGCGCGGCGGCTGGCTGAACTAGCAGGCGCGGCGGCTGTAAAGGAGGGCCCACGGCGGCTGTAAGGGAGGACCCGCGGCGTGCCTAACGAGCAGGCGCGGCAGCGGGCGGTACGGGCAGGCGCGGCGGTTGTAAGGGAGGGTCCGCGGCGGGCCTAAAGAGCCGGCGCTGCGAGAGGCTAGGGCGGGGCCCGCGACGGGCGCGAAAGGCAGGCTCTGCGGGCGGCTAGGGCGGGCCCGCGGCGGGCTGAACGGCAGGCGCGGCGAGAGGCTAGGGCGGGCCCCGCGACGGGCGCGAAAGGCAGGCGCTGCGGGCGGCTAGGACGGGCCCGCGACGGGCTGAACGGCAGGCGCGGCGAGAGGCTAGGGCGGGGCCCGCGACGGGCGCGAAAGGCAGGGCCCTCGACGGGCCTAACGAACAGGCGCGGCGGCAGCCTAACGGGCAGGCGCGGCGGCGGCCTAACGGGCATACGTGGCAGCGCGAAGATAGGGCCCGAGGTGGGCGTAATGAGCAGACGCGGCGGCGCGAAGGCAGGGCCCTCGACGGGCCTAACGGGCAGGCGCGGCGGCAGCCTAACGGGCAGGCACGGCAGCGACCTAACAGGCAGGCGCGGCGGCGCGACAAGACAGGGCCCGCGGTGGGCGTAACGGGCAAGCGCGGCGGCGCAAAGGCAGGGTCTGCGGCGGGCCTAACGGGCAGGCACGGTGGCAGCCTAACGGGCACGCGAGACGGGCGGGCGCTAACGGGCGCTAACAGTCGGGCGCAGGGGGAACGCGCACAACGGAACGGGCTCGGGACGGGATGGGTCACAGAACGGGAGAGCCAAGCAACCCAAGACACGAAACCGCGACGCAACACCAGGGGACCCAGTCCAAAGACTCGTCGGTGAAATCTCTGGCCGAGAGACACGTGGCCAGAGGTTCAGCTGGTGAGCGGCGTACCTAACCGCGTAGGGCCACAGAAAACGGGGGGCACGGGCGTGAGTCAAGGAGGTGCGGGCGATCTCCATAACTAAGCCTATGCCGCGCTCAGCAACCCCATTCTGCTGTGGGGACTCTGGAAGCGTCTAGGACTGACGAATGCCCTACTCACGACAGAATCCAGCGAGAATGCCGGAGCGAAACTCACCCCCACGGTCGGAGTGAAGACAGCTGACTCGACGACTACGAGTGCCCTCAGTGGTAAGCAACCACCTGATTAGCGTAGAAGTCACCTCAGACTTCTTCGCAAGGGGGGACATTGTGGTGTAGCGGGAGTAGTCGTCAACGACCACCAGAAAGAACCGCTCACGCTCAAGGCCAAGGCGAGAGGCAGGGCCCCAGACGTCCAAGTGGAACGTCTCAAAAGGCTCGGTGGCCAGACGAAGGGAGGAGGAGTGAGGGGTGGCGCGCAGCCGACCCTCGACGCAGGGACCGCACGGTGGTGCAAGCGAAGGCGGCAGCGACGGGAAGACATGTGGGAGGCCTAAGACAAGACACTGACGAGACATAGTGCGCAGACAAGGGAGAGACAGGTGCCCCATCCAGTGGTGCCACAGAACGGTGGGGTGGGCAAGTGACCGGCAGGAGCATGACGCAGCAACTGGACAAGACATGGGAACCTTACCAGACACAGCTACCTGGGGGGACGCAGCAACCTGGTGAGACGCAGGGACCAGACTAGGAGAAGGAACAGGGGCCGGGGGCAGTAGTCGCTGCTGCTGCTGCCCACCAGAGCCAGTGTGAAGTGTGTAGAGACCAGAGCCCGGCTCAGCTGTAAAGGTGGCAAGAGGCGTGTAAGTGTCACCGTCAACACAAACCGCCGTCTCACCAGAGGGCTCAATCCACACACCCACATGCTGACTCACAAGAGGCCTCACGCCCCACCAAGCTCTGCGAGAACGAGGGGACGTGGAAGCCAGTCAGAGACCCACAGGGAACAGCAGGGCACGGAAGAGTAGTAGTGTAGCGAGAAGTGACTGGTCCCGAGGTGGGATCAGCCAGAGCCACAGAGACCGGTGCCGGAAGCGGAGTAAGTGTCGTGTGGTCGCGGAAGAAGCAGTGCGAAGCCCCAGAGTCCAAAGTGAAAGTCAGCGAAGTGTCCTCCGAAGTAGCTCCTGGACTAGTGTCTACACAAGTGCCTACACTAGCAACAGGCAACTCATCAAGACTAGCACCTAAGCTAACAACACTCGAGTAAACAGAGTCAGAAGCACTAGAGTCAACCAACTGAGAAGCTGACATGCCCCAAAGAGCGGAGCCGTACGTCTGAACAAGAGGAAACCAGTCAGGGGCAGGGCCGCCAACGCCAAAGGCCAAGCGAACTGTGTCAGTGCACTGAGAAAAACACTGACCAGGAGGGTGGGCGCGGCCACAAGGCTTCGGCGAGCACCTGTCAAAAGCTTATAGGTGCACGAAGGGTGAACAACACCTCGTTGGGGCTGGCGCTGTCCTGGCCCCGAAACCTGCTGCTGCCGCGAGGGCTGCTACGAGGGGAGGGGCTGCTGCTGCTGCAGCTGCTGCTGCCGCTGGGCCAGGTACCACGCCGCTGCTCCACTCGCCGCGGCCGGTAGACCAGAAGGTGGCGGACGAGCCCGGGTGTCGCCTCCACCAGCTGCAGTAGGGGAGTCACTGGCCGCTGTACGAGACGCCTCTCCAGGCCCTGCGCTCCCTCCGCCACCAGTCGGCACGCCACCCCCGCCAACTCTGCCACCAACGCCTCTACCTCCGCCGCCACCTGTACCCTGACCGCCCCTCTTACCACCTCTACCTCAAGACCGCGAAGAAGTCGTAACAGCAGCTGCGGTCACGTCAGTAGCAGCAGTGGCGAGCGATGTTATAAAGGTGGGCAGCTGAGGGACAGTGCACCCGTGGAACAGTGGAGGGGCACAACACCAGATGCGGAGGCTACGGAGCGGAGGTTGCTCTTGACGTCCTTGAGCGCAGACTCAAGGACCTCGATAGTGAGCTCACTAGGGTGCTTCAGGAGAAGCGTGTCATGGACCGAGGCAAGGCGGTCAGGGAGGCTAGTGGCGATGAAATAGATAGTAATCACCATGGGGTGAGGAAGCAGTGCAAGCTGTGCCTCAGTGCAAGCAGCGCGGTAGCTAGAATCAAGCGAGCGGAGGTGAGCAATCAAGTCTGCAGAGAAACGAGGCGAGGTCAGGGAACAGGAACGGTAGGAAGAGTCGGCCAAGAGAGACAGTGGTGGGAGTAGCGTAGCGGGCCTTAATCGCGGTCAGGAACTCACTAGTAGTGCGAACCTGAGTGAAGTGAGCCTCCTCAGACTCAGGGAGGAGGCTTCTAAGAGCGATGCAAGCCGCAGCATCACGCGACTTCCACGAGGTGAGGTCAGCACGCTGGCGGGTAAAGCGGTCCATGGCTGCAAAACGCGGGCGCAACGGTGCTAGGGGCAGTCCCGCGGTGGACCGAACGAGTAGGCGCAGCGGTGCGAAGGAAGGGCCTAACGAGCGGGCCGACAGCGGACTTAACGAGGAGGCGCGGCGGCTGGCTGAACTAGCAGGCGCGGCGGCTGTAAAGGAGGGCCCACGGCGGCTGTAAGGGAGGACCCGCGGCGTGCCTAACGAGCAGGCGCGGCAGCGGGCGGTACGGGCAGGCGCGGCGGTTGTAAGGGAGGGTCCGCGGCGGGCCTAAAGAGCCGGCGCTGCGAGAGGCTAGGGCGGGGCCCGCGACGGGCGCGAAAGGCAGGCTCTGCGGGCGGCTAGGGCGGGCCCGCGGCGGGCTGAACGGCAGGCGCGGCGAGAGGCTAGGGCGGGCCCCGCGACGGGCGCGAAAGGCAGGCGCTGCGGGCGGCTAGGACGGGCCCGCGACGGGCTGAACGGCAGGCGCGGCGAGAGGCTAGGGCGGGGCCCGCGACGGGCGCGAAAGGCAGGGCCCTCGACGGGCCTAACGAACAGGCGCGGCGGCAGCCTAACGGGCAGGCGCGGCGGCGGCCTAACGGGCATACGTGGCAGCGCGAAGATAGGGCCCGAGGTGGGCGTAATGAGCAGACGCGGCGGCGCGAAGGCAGGGCCCTCGACGGGCCTAACGGGCAGGCGCGGCGGCAGCCTAACGGGCAGGCACGGCAGCGACCTAACAGGCAGGCGCGGCGGCGCGAAGACAGGGCCCGCGGTGGGCGTAACGGGCAAGCGCGGCGGCGCAAAGGCAGGGTCTGCGGCGGGCCTAACGGGCAGGCACGGTGGCAGCCTAACGGGCACGCGAGACGGGCGGGCGCTAACGGGCGCTAACAGTCGGGCGCAGGGGGAACGCGCACAACGGAACGGGCTCGGGACGGGATGGGTCACAGAACGGGAGAGTGTCGACAGCTACGGCGGGGTACGCGACAAAACGGGTGAGGCGCGTCAGGCTTGCGCGGGAGGAACGGGATCCTACAGGATCATAACCTAGGTGATACCATGTCAAAAATGAAAGTGTTGTGTTATTGATGAGGGTTGGGGTACATATAACAAATGTCAGAGTATTATAGCTGATGCATGTTTGTAGGCTATAGTGGGGTAGCACATGTGGGGTACAGCTTTCTAGGGTTGTATTTGTACCCAACTCTGACTTAGTCATTTCATTTCCTGTTTTCCTTGCTTCACATGGTATAGAGCGGGTCCTGCCTTAGGACCGTTTTTTTTAGGGCCCACCGAAGCGCGCCCCGAGGCGCGCCTTTTTTTAGCGACCCCTCGGGTCGCCTTTTCCCTCGCGGCCCCGCTGTCCCTCAGACGCGGCCCCGCCACCTCTCCTGATCGCGGCCCCGCCGCCTGCTTGACGCGGTCCCGCCGCCTCCCCTGACGCGGTCCTGCCGCCTCCCCTGACGCGGCCCCGCCGCCTCCCCTGACGCGGCCCCGCCGCCTCCCCTGACGCGGCCCCGCCTCTACTGCCGCGGCCCCGCCGCCGCCTCTGACGGCCCCGCCGCTGCACCCTACGGCCCGCCGCCTCTGACGGCCCCGCCGCTGCACCCTACGGCCCGCCGCTGCTCCTGCCGGCCCGCCGCCTCACCTGACGGCCCCGCCGCTGCTCCTGCCGGCCCGCCGCTGCTCCTGCCGGCCCGCCGCTGCACCTGCCGGCCCGCCACTTCACCCAGCGGCCCGCCGCCTCTGACGGCCCCGCCGCTGCACCCTACGGCCCGCCGCTGCTCCTGCCGGCCCGCCGCCTCACCTGACGGCCCCGCCGCTGCTCCTGCCGGCCCGCCGCTGCTCCTGCCGGCCCGCCGCTGCACCTGCCGGCCCGCCGCTGCACCCAGCGGCCCGCCGCTTCACCTGACGGCCCCGCCGCTGCACCTGCCGGCCCGCCGCTGCACCCTACGGCCCGCCGCTGCACCCTACGGCCCGCCGCCTGCACCTGCCGGCCCGCCGCTGCACCTGCCGGCCCGCCGCTGCACCTGCCGGCCCGCCACTGCACCGGTCGACCCACCGCTGCACCTGACGGCCCCGCCCCTGCATCTCCCGGCCAACCGCCCCAGCAGCCGAACCGCCCGGGAGCCGAGCCGCCCAACGCCGAGCCGCCCGGGACCCGAGCCGCCATGCCGCCGAGCCGCCCGGGAGCCGAGCCGCCCTGCACCCGAGCCGCCCAGCCGCCGAGCCGTCCGGGAGCCGAGCCGCCCTGCGCCCCAGCCGCCCAGCCACCGAGCCACCCGGGAGCCGAGCCGCTTACACCCGAGCTGCCCGGTCGCTGAGCCGCCTTTCTGCAGAGCTGCACGACCTGCCCTGCCTGGTGAGCACAGTCCCACTGACACTGCGAGCTCTTTCCCTACTGCTTGCACTGCGTCGCTGTCGTCGCCATGGCTATCCCTAGTGTCCTACCTTTCGACGCTGAGGGTCGCGCCATTGATTTTGAGGTCTGGTTAGACGACCTGCAGCTGTTCTTACAGTGCGACAGGGCTGACGACCTTTCTCTCTTTGACCTCACCTCTGGCGCCTCTCCTGCTCCTGCTGCTGATGCTGATCCCTCTGTCCGCTCTCAGTGGGCCACCCGCGATGCTGCTGCACGTCTTGCTGTAAGTCGCCACCTCCCTACCTCTGAGCGTGCGCACTTTAGCCAGTACAAGAGTGCTCAGACCTTGTACGACGCTGTAGTTGCGCGCTACTCCTCCCCTGCCACTGCTGCACTGAGCCGTCTCATGCTTCCCTACCTCTTTCCTGACCTCTCTGCCTTTCCCACTGTTGCTGACCTCATTACGCACCTCCGCACTAGTGACACTCGCTACCGCGCCGCCCTTCCTGCTGAGTTCTGCGCTAAGAACCCCCCCCCCATGTACATCGCTCTCTACTACGTAGTCGCGCGCCTCCCTGACTCCCTTCGCGTCGTCAGGGACCACTTTCTCTCTGTCTGTCCCACCACCCTCACCGTCGACCTCCTCGAGAAGGCCCTCCTCGCAGCGGAGAAGAGCATAGTCGCTGTAGGTGCTTCTCGTGGTGACCCTCGCACCCCCATCTTTGAGGGGTGTTCTCCTTCCCCCTTGCTGCCCTCTGTTGCCTCTGCTGCTGCTGCCGACCTGCTTGGTCTTGAGTCGGTCGGCGCGGCGTCTACCCCTAGTGGGAGACGTCGCTCTAGCAAGGGCAAGGGGGGCAAGGGCGCGGGTGGAGCTGGAGGGGGCGGTGGCGGTGGCGGCGTGGCGGCGGAGGGAGTGGGGGTGGTGGCGGGACTAGTGGCGGGGGTGGTGGTGGTGGTGGTGGCAGCAGCGGCGGAGACGGTGGTGGTGGTGCCAGCGGTGGTGGTGGTGGCAGCGGCGGAGGTGGAGGCGGCGGAGGTGGAGGCGGTGGAGGCGGCAGCGGAGGAGGCGGTGGTGGTGGAGGAGGTGGGGCTGGTCGGGGTGGTACCCAGCAGCGTAGCGGCGGTGGTGGTGGCCAGCGCTCGCAGCGGCAGCAGCAGCAGCGCTCGCGGGACATCCCTCCGCCTCAGCAGCTTCGTGAGTGGTACGCTGGGCGTCAGAGGGGTGGGGGTACTGGTCCCTGCACCTACGTTCTTCGTTCCGGCGACCGCGCGGGTGAGCAGTGTGGGGGTGCCCACGCCACCCAGCGCTGCTTTGGCCGCCTGACGGACGCTTGGCGTCGGCAGTTCCCTGGGGCTAGTGAGATCCCTCGCTGGGATGAGCTTCTTAGGGCTGGTGTAGCGATCTTTGATCTCGATTTTGATGCTATCCTTGCTGCTATGTATGCTGTGGATTATAGTGAGGAGAATGAGGGTTACCGGTGTTTCCAGCCCGACCCGGGCATTGGTGCTGCTGCGCTAGGTGCTTGTGAGGCTGCTGCTCTAGGTGCCAGTGCGTCTGTGCTCTCAGGTACTGGTGAGACTGCGCTCTCAGGTACTGCGTCGTCCTCGTCCTCCCTCACTTTCACACTTGACTCCGGGGCTTCTCGCTCCTTCTTTCGAGACCGCACTACCCTTACGCCGCTCGGCCGGCCGGTTGCGGTCTCCCTTGCTGACCCCTCTGAGGGTCCTGTCCTGTCTCACTTCTCCACTGTCCTCCCGTGTCCGGCTGCCCCTTCGGGCACCCTGTCTGGTCTGTGCCTTCCCTCGTTCTCTACGAACTTGGTGAGTGGAGCGGACCTGCAGGATGTGGGGGTTCACCAGTTCACTCCTGCGAGTCAGCGGGTGACCCACTACACGGAGGCACGCACAGGCCGACACCTGGCCACGTTCTCGCGTCGGCCGGGGTCGAGTCTCTACACCCTGACCGTTGAGTCTCCTCCTGTCCCTGCGTCTTGTCAGGTGGCTGCGTCGGGTCAGGTGCTTGCTGCTGCGTCCCGGTCAGGTCCTGAGTCTGCCCCCTGTTCTTGTCGCCTCTTGTCTCACGAGACTCTCCTGTGGCACCACCGTCTTGGCCACCCCTCCTTGCCCCGTCTTCGGAGCATGGCTTCCCGTGTCCTTGTCTCTGGTCTTCCCCAGTCTCTCCCTCCTCTCCCCTCCGGGCCAGGACCTTCCTGTGTCCCCTGTGTCGAGGGTCGCCTCCGGGCTACTCCTCACTCCTCCCACTTCCCCCCGACAGAGGCTCCCCTGCAGACGCTTCACATGGATGTGTGGGGCCCAGCCCCCGTCCGTGGGCAGGGTTACGAGCGCTACTTCCTGTTGGTGGTTGACGACTACTCGCGTTACACCACAGTCCTCCCCTTACGCAGCAAGGGTGCGGTCACTGAGGTGCTGATCGACTGGATCCGCGAGGCTCGTCTCCAGCTCAGGAAGAGCTTCGGCTCGGACTTTCCCTGTTCTGCGTCTGCACTCGGACAGAGGCGGAGAGTTCTCTTCTCGCCTTCTGCGGGACTACTGTCGTGCACGGGGGATCCGCCAGACCTTCACGCTTCCGGACTCACCACAGCAAAATGGGATTGCTGAGCGCCGCATTGGCATGGTCATGGATGTCGCTCGTACGTCCATG